TTTCAAAATTGCGAAAATTTCGAAAACTTTATAAAAAGAAAATTCAGTATTTATATTTTAATATTTTTTTTTTCAAAACGTTTTTGACTTTTCGAAAAAAATCGGAATATTTGTGATAGAACGCATGCTTATGACTAACTCAAGCAAGTTTTAGCTAAATATCTTCAAAAATGGCCAAGTTATACGCATTATTGCAAAAAATTCACAATTATTAATTTTTCAAATCAATTTTTCAGTACGTATTTGACATCGTACACCAATATAAATAGCACCGTCGTGTTCCCGAGCTCAAACTGCATCCAATCGATACCTTTTTTTTTGTTGAAAAATTTTAACTTTAAAATTTGACCTTTTTTGACCTGAAAGTGACCTGAAAGTGACTGACCTAAGCAAAATTCGACTCAAAATGACCTCAAATAACATAGACGACATCAAATTCGAAATCTATGACCTAAATGGACCATAAAACATGTGTCACGTGACCGACGCATGATATAATATTTCCGTGACCTGTGATGACCTGACCCTGACCTGAAAATCAAAGTACAAGTTTGGTACCCTCAGGGTATCTAGAGCATCTGTTCACGAGTGTGTATACTAGTGGTGCCAATTTCATGAAATTTCAATTCCAATTCCGATCCAATTCCAAGAAATTGCCAAGTAAATTTCCAATTTTGTCCAAAGCGGGGGCTATTCCAATTTTTAACGATTTTTGCATTTTTTGCGTAAATTTTAAAAGTGTTTAAAAGCGTTTTAAAGGCCTCCGTTTTAAAATTTTAAATTTTAAAGGCCTTGTGTTCCGATTAATTTCCAAAAAATGTTAAGAATTCCGTCCAAATTCCAAATTGGAATTGGACAAAAATTGGAATTCCAAGAAAAGAAATTCCGATTGGCACCAATAGTGTATACCAAAAATGAGCCTGATCTGATTTGTAAGACGGCGGCCAGAGCCCAAAATGTGAACAAACCAAAATGCTAATAATTTTTACGTTGACCTGACCTGTGACGTCATCGGTGACCTTGAGTTCAATAAAATTAGGTTTCGCTCGACAGTTTTTCCGGGGCTATCAGATGCCGTTTGAGTTTTGACGATCGGCCCAGTAGTTTCGGAGTTAGGAGGGGGGCTATGAAGAGCCCCCCCCCCCTCCCAGTAGGGCGTGTTGTACGCAGACCCCAGTGGGGGGCGGGATACGGTACACGCTCCTGCCGCAAAACCAGATTTATTTCTACCCGAGATGATCTGATCTAGAATTTAGCCGGGAACCCCGGTCCCCGACCGAACCTAAGGCATCGCAGGCCGTTTTTACATTGTAAGCCGCAAGGGTGTCAACACCAAACACCATCCAGCAGGCTGTTAACACGAATGACTGCCAGACATCCACAGGGCTCCACCGCACCATCCACCACCCCCTGCTCGCACTGCAGTCCATGACCTCCCCTCCGTGGGATTCGCCGTGGGATAGAGCGGCTGGTCGGGGTGCCCGATCGTCAGCTCGTCAATGATGCAGCAGGGCGGCGTTACCCCGGCAGTGGGTCAACAAAGTGGGCGTCTGCGGGTCACCAGTGGCCTCACTGTCTAGCGGACTGCTCAGGCGGAGAGAGAGAGACGGTCAGCACGTTCAGGATGATGGTGTTGCGCCGCGTGCACCTTCTCGGCGCTCTGCTTCTGCTTGCAGCACCGCCAGGTAAGAGATCGTGGATGATCCCAATTTTCAAAATTTACATGTTTTTCATTTTTTCACTAGGGTACTCGTTCTTCGAGTTCACACACCTGCTTCCGAGGGCCGCCTCATACTGAGCGAGAGGAGCTCACAGAGGTCTGAGGGACTTAGGAGGGTTTAGTACTCGACGAGCGTCCGACTCTGATAACCCCACAGTATCTACACGTGTCCCCCTTTGAGCTGATTCGCGCTGGGTCAGCTACTCTAATTAATTACCAGTATAACGCCTTTTGGGGCGACTAACGGAGCGAGCGAGACGGTGGGCCTTGCACGTGCGAAATTGCGAGGGAGTACCTTCAACTGACTTGTGCACTGCACCCTACTAACCGGTCTCTAGCGAGGTGTCAAATTTGAGCATAATCGGCCCAGCCGTTCTCGAGATCTGGAAGCGGCACCCTGCACGTACGCACGCGCAAAATGGGTCCGAGCTGACTTTTGCACGGCACCCTACTAACCGGTCCCTAACCGCATACCAAATTTGAGCGCAATCGGTCCAGCCGTTCCCGAGATCTGGAATCGACCCCTGCACGTGCGCACGTGCAGCAGCAACCCAATTGTGGCACATGGATATGCATTGCCTAGTGGGTGCCTACCTACTTGCCAACTTTCAACGCAAACGGCGCACTCCGGCACTCCTCAACACCAATTCCGACCTCGACTCCGTAGCCCTGGGTGAGGCTTTTAATGAGAGGTGCATTCGCACACTGTAAAACGTTCGGTACATGTACATTGCGCAATATGGATGCATTTATATGGGTACAATACAGCCATTTGTGCAATAAATTCTCAGCAGCATTGTAAGAACATATGTGTCAGTGCGAGTAAAAATTATTCATCTGGGAAGCTTCACCAAAGGAAGAGGACAGTGATGGAAGGGAACATGCATATTGATGGAAGGGAACAGGCATATTGATGGACGGGGCACAGTTTGTTGTGGTGATTCGACGGTATCCAGGGATGGTTCTCACGCCGTGCGGTGCGCCACACTTGTCGGAGGTCCAGCCTGCAGCCCGGCCGGCCTCGCTGCTCGCACCGTGAATAGTTAAGTAGTGTACCCTGGTGACGATTTCCGGTCGCTGGGATCCGTTTTGGTGATTAATCCAAATCAACGGATCAACAACTTACTTTCTAAACTCGTATGGAGCATTGTTAACTTCATTTAGAGAACGGAAGGACAAAATGGTAACGGCAGTCAGCTTTTATGCCGCTACGTAAGTTTAAAGGTAGTGTGCCACCTTTGAAAGATTTCCCATTTTATTTTTCCTAGGATAAGAAGCTTCTGTTTTTACCTAATATCGCAAAAAAAAATCAAAAATGGGCCTGGAATAGTGCCTTTTTCGCCTAAAAGTTTTTCGGTTTTTAGATATGTATAACAACTGTAGTGGGCTCACCTGCAAACAGGCGTCGGGCAACAATCGCGAATGCGGCGCACTTGTGACAATAAGCAAAGGTCATTATAGTGTTACGACCATACGACGTACGGGAATGAGTTATCAGCTGTCTAATCGTAGACAACACAATGTCGAGCCTTAAACTGTAAGCCCGTATTGGTATTGTTTCTTTTATTTGGCTGTCGAACATTATTTATGGTTTGAAATATGATTTTATGTAAAATAATTGATATGAAAAAGCCGTCTTATAAGTTATGACCCCATTTCACCACACGCAAGTGGCAGAAATGACAATGATCAGCTGACGCATTTTTCTTGGCCGAAGTCAGAGCGCGCGGCCCGACGCACCACGCGTATTTGGAAATTCCGACCTCGACGAGCATCAGAAGCCACCTAACAGGCGTGTTCGAAACCGCAGGAGATGATGATGAACGGGTTTATCGAAACTTGATTGGATGAGCATATCGGTAATAGCGATTTCAGTGTGTGCATTTATTGTTCATAGTGGTGTGAAATGTGGTTGGGGTACGACCGACAACCCGTCGGGGCGAATTTCGCACTGGGGTACTCAAAATTTGAAGAATTTAAGACGTTTCCATAAGTTTTGAAGGTATGGATAAGTTCTAAAAATCCGGTTCTCCTTATCCGGGTCATTAACTCCATATGGTCCAAGAAAGCTGGCACACTACCTTTAACGACGACTCAAGTGTCGTAGACATTTACAGGCCTTTATCGGTCGAAGGAGCGCGGCCAGTGGGTGTACTGAAACAGTACTTTCGTCTACCACCATGGCGGGAGGAGGGAAGGGGGGTGGGGGTGGGGCTTTTACTGTCCCCATCTGGGTTAGGTCATTTGGTCTCCAAGCGGAAAACGGAGATCGGAATTCGAAGACTTGTCCAAATTATCACTTGTTTTTTTTTGCTGTTTTAGGTCGAATCAAAGTTTCGGTCACAAGCGATACATGTCGCATCAATTCTCAAAAGAGCGTGATACCTGGGTTTTCATATGTAGCCATTAGTTCATTAGTTAGGATCCGATTCATCACAAGGATTTTCTTCGAAAAAAATACGTATTTAAGTATTTCTGGTAATCCGGTGTCTTGAACAATATCAGGACACATGTTATGACTTGAATAGGCTATCGTAAGGCTTATAGGCTTGTTGCTACGCGGACCTAGGACCCGAGTCAGCGGGGGCGCAACAAAAGCCTCCTCGCCGCCTCGATATGTTACAGTTGAGCCCAAGGTTGATAACTTATAGGTTGTACTTACATGTGTATGTTGGGTTATGATAGGTTCGGAATCACCGTCATAATGCGATAAGCGTCGAGATAGCATATTGTGATGTGGTGATCTCTTTCTCCTTCTCTCCTCACTCTCTCTCTCTCTCTCTCTCTCTCTCTCTCTCTCTCTCTCTCTCTCTCTCTCTCTCTCTCTCCTCTCCATCTTTCTCTTTCTATCTCTCTCTCTTTTTATCTCTCTCTTTCTCTCTCTCTCCCTCTTTCTTTCTTTCTTTCTTTCTTTCTTTCTTTCTTTCTTTCTTTCTTTCTTTCTTTCTTTCTTTCTTTCTTTCTTTCTTTCTTTCTTTCTTTCTTTCTTTCTTTCTTTCTTTCTTTCTTTCTTTCTTTCTTTCTTTCTTTCTTTCTTTCTTTCTTTCTTTCTTTCTTTCTTTCTTTCTTTCTTTCTTTCTTTCTTTCTTTCTTTCTTTCTTTCTTTCTTTCTTTCTCTCTCTCTCTCGCTCTCTCTCTCGCTATTGTCGATCTGTTGATCTCTCTTTTCCTCCTCCATATGGGTATCCTCCACTCTTTCTGCATTGAATTATAAAAGGGCAATCATTCTCAATGTGAAATCCAAAGTATCCTCTTTCAGGAAAATGTCAAAGCGCAACGAGCACTACAGAATCCGCATCACAACAGGAAACAACAACTTTGGCAGCGCAGCCAGAAACAACTTTGACAACGCAACCAGAAACAACTTTGACAACGCAACCAGAAACAACTTTGACAACGCAACCAGAAACAACTTTGACAACGCAACCAGAAACAACGACTTTGACTACAACATCAGCTCCAACAACGACGACAACACCCTTGGTGAGTGACCTGTACAGTTACGGGTACATAATTGCATTTACGGCGTGGACCATGTATACTACATGCTACATCATACCTACCGTGTAAGGATTGCGTTGTAAGGGAGTCAGTCGTACGACTTGATATATCAAGACCCGTACCTATATCTAACGCCCGTATCTAATGCATTTTTTCCGGAATAATTGTTATATCCGATAGAGTTTTGAAACCAGAAATGTAGAATGTTTTATTGTCGAATAAAGCTTAGCCTTCCAAGATCGCCGCCTAATGTATGAATTGTAAACACTATGCTTGGCAATGCCCTTATATTTCCCCCAAAATACCACTTACCTGCATTCCAAACTGGTTTACTGTTACGTTGTTGACCGAATTGCTTCATCAAGCCAGCGAGAGGGACATGCTTTGTTGCGGAGATCGAAGCCTAAAAAAGACCATGGATTATAAATATAAGCTCGAAGAATGTCATTTTTATGAAGAAGTTTAAGAAAAGTAGTCAAATTTTCATCGAGGCATTGACTTTCCCGGTATGATTTGTCTCACTAATTTAGCGATACGTGGTCTGAACAGAATAACAAGTTTTGCTCATGCTGTGTACCTTTTTCAACGTATACCTAGACATATTGATAGATTCACAGTCCAGCATTGAGCATACACACTTCACCACGATCATATAGAAAACATATTTCAAAGAGAGAAGAGTTAAATATTATCAAAGTCCAGCCGTTCGCTCGCTAGTTCGGCCCGGGAGCCGACTCTCCGTTCTGGCACGAGGCCAAGCCTCGCGGCGGTCACAGGTCGGTCGGCCCAAGGTGACCTTGAGCGGACAGCGTGATTGGTCACCAGCCGCTGCCGCGTGGTAATCGATATCCAAAAAGGAGACGCAACACCAAAGTACCAATTCAAGCACCGTGAACAACCGAAATGCCCAAAACCCAGCAATCAGTCAATCAATCCGTGAGCACACCGGCCGACAAAGGTGCTGAAACGAAATACGCGTGCTGATCTGACCTATTGACCTGCCGCCCGCAGCCCTCCGACCCTGAGGAGATGTACGCACGGATTCAGTTTGCGCTGGGCCCGACCAACATCGAGCTGACCCCAGGCCAGCCGTTTGACCTGCAGCTGAACATCAGCGTACCTCCGCTGGACCACGTGCCGCCCACCGACTTCAAGGTAACGGCGCGGCACAGCAGTTATATCTCCTGATCGTCATGTTGAGCATTCCTACCCCCTGCTGAGGTCACACAGCCTGACGCCTTTCGCTTGATATGAGGGGTAGGTATACGTAAAGACCAAGTGGCATCTTATCCGATGACCAGCTAAGTTAAGGTAATGTAAGCTACGCTCCTGGGAGTTACGACGCTACGCTAATACTTTCACACGCAAATGTCGCGTTGACCGGTGTCTTGCTCCTACCGGTCCTAAATCACTGTATCCGTGTACCTGAGATCCGCGCCCGGCCCCCAGATTGAGGTGTTTGGCCACGCCATCACCGGCACCGTGTACACCCGGTTTGCGCTGTTCGAGCCGCGACTGCAGATGGATGACGACTCCCAGTCGGTCGCCAACTTCACCACCCACCTCAACAGGAGCACCGAGTTCCCCAACATAGTGAGTAGCGCGGCCGATCGTGTGCCAACGAGCTCTCCAGCATCGTGAGTAGCGCGGCTGGGCGTGTGCCGCCGAGTCCCCAGCCGAAGATCGCACTCCGGACATCCTTCCAGTCACTTTGCCTACTTAGTCCTTCGTGAGCAAAGATAGATTCAAGGAGCCATTCTTGAATAGTGTTGGAAAAAAAGGTAGAGGCTTGCCGCACACACTGCCGCATACAGAAAGGAACACAAAGCTGTCATGATTTTTTTTTCTCTTTCAAAATATCACATGGAACCCGTGAGAAAGCACAATGTACACTCACCTGAGAGCACATATGTAGACGAGTACCTAAAAGTAGCCAGAAAGAAGGAACATTCTTTTCGGAATTGCAAACAATGTTTATTCATTTTTTTATCAATACGATTACGTAATGCTTGTCGTGATATGCGTGACATGGCTTCTTACTTTACAGTATCACTCTGGAAGATTTGTCATAAGCAACTTCACAACTACAAAGGAGGGGATACTGATTTTCGTAATTAGAACGGCCCTTTTGAAGTAAGTGGTTTCATTTTCTCTCAACTTGCCATTACATGCTGATTTAGATATGGACGCTGTTATCGTAAATGATAGATGGAACAAACGAGCGTTATTGCAGACCACTCACCACTGAGAAGTAAATGATGATTAATAACGTTACCAAAGACCGTCGCTGATGGCTCCCGATAGCCCACTGTCGCCAGCTCCTCAGCCACGTGTAGACTCTGCACCACTGACGTGTCCCGTTCTGCGGCAGATCCTCCACCATGACGTCGGGCAGCTCGTACCCGATATCGGTGGCCGTGACCTTTGGCGACGGCCTGTTCGGCTGGTCACAGCAGGCCATGTACATCTGCAGCCAGGCAGACGTAAGATGTCATTTCAAACGGCACAGGCACCATAACAGCACCACTAAAGTAAAAATATACCATTTCTGATACGACGAGAAGTGGCATGACAAATCGGCTCGGCCTGTTTAAGAAGGTTAAATATCAAAGGTAAAAACACTTTTTATTTTTATGATTATACGCAATGGTTAACCATCAAATAATTCATTTCCGGTGTTTGTAACAACTATATTTTGATAGCCTTATTGTGATATCAGGTGACCTTTGACTTCAATGGAGTGCTGGCGCCGAGCGCAGGCGGAACCTCGGGTCAGATCGAGAGGCGGGGCGCAGACCGGATCGACGTCCAACTCCAGTACACAAACGCGTTCGACGAGCTCCGGTTGGAGGTAGGCCATCCGCCATCCGCCGCCTCCAGGAGGGCAGCGGAATGTTGTTCTATATGCCCTGAGCGGAATGCTCATGGTTACTGGTGGAGTTTTGCTTAGAACGTTCAAATCGATACCTACTTTATTTTGTAATGGTAATTATATTCATACCAGTATAACGCCTTTTGGGGCGACTAACGGAGCGAGCGAGAGGGTGAGCCTTGCACGCGCGAAATTGCGAGGGGGTACCTCCAACTGACTTGTGCATGGCACCCTACTAACCGGTCTCTAGCGATGTGCCAAATTTGGGCACAATCGGCCCAGCCGTTCTCGAGATCTGGAAGCGGCACCCTGCACGTGCGCACGTGCAAAATGGGTCCCAACTGACTTGTGCACGGCACCCTACTAACCGGTCCCTAACTGTGTACCAAATTTGAGGGTAATTGGTCGAGCCGTTCTCGAGATCTGGAAACGACCCCTGCACGTGCGCACGTGCAGCAGCGCCCCAATTCTGGCACATGGATATGCAGTGCCTAGTGGGTGCCTACCTACATGCTAACTTTCAGCGCAATCGGCCAAGTAGTTACCGAGATATTGCAACAATTACAAAACGGACACCTCTTCGTTTTGCACGTGGCACGTGCATAAGGGGTCACCCACATGCATCAGGAATAGTCCAATACTTGGTAGAAGGAATGAAGCTACCCTACAAAAATTACCGCGTGTAAATCGGTCAAGTGGTTGCTGAAATATAAGCCTCGCAAAAGCGTGACCACGGCCGGCCGGCCGGCCGCTCATACTCAGAAATTTCCGTTAATCTAAGGAAAGACTACGCTCGCTTCGCTCGCTCCGTAACAATAGGTACGTAAGGTTAGCGGGAGATAAGAACTAAGAGCTAAACTATAGCTGAGCTGTGCCGCCTATTGTGTCGATGTGTCTTGTTTGTCAAACTCTCTGCATACAGGTCTCGGGGACGTCAGTCAAGGCGGATGTGTTTTCACTCACCGCCATCGAACTGCAAACGATGGAGTCAAGCTTCGGTAGCTGTGCCGCTTTCCGTGACGATGTGAATAGTACCAGTGTCTTTGAGACGTCGTCTTCAGGGAGAACTAAACGGGCCGTCAGCAGGAGCTTCGGAAATATCCTCAACTGTGGCGGTACGAATGTTCAAAAACATCTACTTATCTGACTTGCAGGATCAGGAAACCACAATGTGCAGTAGTATGGAAGCTGGGCGTCGTGGTGCAAATTGTAAATACCCCAAGGTGTCTTGATACAACACGATCGTTATTTATAAATGAGACGGGGGCGCAGAGCGACTGCAAGAAGTCGCGATTGTGTGACGAGTTTAAGTTCCATTAGTCTGTTGCTGGTTGTACTTCTGTGATTTATGAGCCTCTGCTGATTCCACCACCATGTTTGCCGCTGCTGTTTGACTGACATTATTGGCCACAATATCAGCGCCTCGTTTCCAGGCGCGCAGCCTCGCTCGGCGGGCGAGGACGACGAGATAGTCCTGGGGTTCGGCGTCGTCACCGACGGAGAAATGGGCGACACCTTCACCATCACCGTCCGGGTGCTGCTGAGGGGCGCGCTGAAAATGACGCAGTCACTCACACTCACCCTCATCGAATCAACAACTGCCACACTCGGCACTAAATATCAAATGGTTAGTCATTCGATTGACTTTATGAATTACCGTCAATGTAAAGACGGATAAAAGAGACGTTAATTCGTTTTCTCTGCACGCTAATCCGCTGCAGTGTTTCACAGACACAGCTGACACCTTTCCGTCTGCATGTTTTTAGGCGCGTGTCGGAGAGGGGGTCAAACTGGCGCTGACGGAGCCGGCTCCAGGCGTACCACTCGACATCAGCCCCGGGAGACATGTCACCTTCGACATGTCTTACGAGTTCCTCAGTCACCAGTCGGAGCAGTGGTGAGTTCGTGAAACACTTAGAAAGTCGGGCTATTTTATGGACAGTGTAACTGAAACTGAGCTATGAAATTTATTCTTTATCAGGGCAAGTTTTATTTTACGCGAGATATTGGGCCACCTAAGGTGAGATTGTTAAGCACACTTATCTGATTTCAGTGACAATTGACTTCGTATATATCTATCTTACCATTTTTATCTCGCAACAGGATGTACGATTCGGTGAACTAATGCCTTTTCAGTTTGCGCACTGATTGCTATACTGTCTGCCTCTCCAATCTCCATGCGTGTTTTATATTCCAGCATTAAAAACAGAGACCCGAGTATCGACACCGATGTGTACGTTTTCCAAGGACAGCTCGTCGTTACAGGCACAGAGGTGAGCTCTGCAATCACCGCCAGCCCCACACCGGGTCATTAGTTAACAAACGAAACCAATGCTGGTAACACAAGAACGATACAGCACCAATAGTCAGGATGAAACTAATTCTGGCTGTAAAGAAGACGCGTCTTTCCCAGCTAGGCCACTATAAGAGCCAAACGCTGGTAAACTCACCATTGAAATAAATAAATTCGACTTGCCAACTGCAGTGCAAATAAGTAACTAAAGACGACTGATTTTCTGTCACGTGGCTCGGTAGCTTATAACCAGCAGATAAAAATAAGAAACTAAGAAAATGCAGAAACAAAAATCCGATATAGCTGGGTTATGTAGCCGATATAACTGATAATATTTTCCATCTCGCTCTCCTCGCCGCCGTTTCGCGGAGTAATGTGGCACCATGCTCGATTGCTCAAAGATGTTCTAAGCAGCGTTCGTCTATGTCTGGACGATCCCTTACCTTTAGCTCACGTCTACGTCCCACCATTCGTTTAGCGTCTGTTCCCTGTTTCCGCTCGTACTCTGGTCCCAGCTCCCTCACCTGACCGCTGTCGCCCACCTGCAGGCCCAGCCGTGCGGCGTGTCGGACGGCGACCGATCCGAGGCCGTCTCTCCCACCCTGATGCCCACCGACATCTCAGTGTTCGACGGCAACTCCTCCATGGTGTTCTGGCTCGGACCGACATTCTACGCAGGAGTCGTGAGTTGTTCTAGCAGGGCACGGTGGGGCTGTGTTCACTTGGAAACAGGGCTTCTGTCTAGTTACTTGGCCGCATCGAAATTAACCCGCGACCGCCTGGGGGGGGGGGGGGGTCGGATCCGACCCCCCCTCCGTTTTTCTTGAATAACTCATGAACCGCTTGCGCTATCAACTTGAAACTTTGCATACCTTCTCCCCCATCAATTTGACGTCTCCTGTGCAATTTTTAAGAAAAAAATTCAAAAATTTCTGAGATATATCGATTTTAGTGATGTAACTACATGGCGTTTTCAGTCAAAAAATGGTAAATGTTTAAAAAATCGCCAAAAATCGAGGTTTTAAGCAAATTGCAAATTAAGGACATGGAAAGACGCAGCTCAACAAGTTCTTTAAAATGGCTATCTCGGATTTTCCATAAAATGCGTTTTTCACCCCTAAAAATTCAAAAAACTATTTTTTTTGGAAAACAGCTAATAAAATCCAAAATTTTGAGAATTTTCAAAAAACCGGAATATATGTTATAGAGCTCTATTAGAACATTAGATGTCCCAAATTTCAACTTTCTATCTTGATTTTTAACCCCTAAATTGTAAAAAATAGCTCCAACATGCATAGGGCATGGTGACGTCATAAGCATTTTCGCGAATTAGAGGCACTTCTGAACATCGCATGTGAAAACAAATGGCACCACTAGATTCCTGGGACAAAGATCGTCTAGAAAAGTGCATTTTTATGTCAAAAATAAAAAGTTGAAAAATTGATTTTTTTTCTTAGCCCTCGTTTAGTTATGTATGGTATAAACGATTTTTTATGCTTTCAATTCACACTTATCACCAGCACAGTGACTTGGGGTCACATATAACCATTACCATTAGATTTGGCGTGAAAAATAAGTCATAAAACATGTGTCGCACGCCCATGTAGCAGAAAGTGAAAACCCTGACCTTTCGTGACCTGACCTGACCTTGACCCGAACTTAGTATGACCCCTATACGCACATGGTACCTTCACTAGCTCTTTAAGGTCATTTGTGGTGAGTTTCGAGCAGCAGCTATCGATTCCGCTGTCCGTAAGCCTAATCATGCAAAACCCCTGAATTTGACCTTTGACCTGACCTTGACCCGAAAGTTGACCTCAATCTTAAAATCTTAAGAGTGCTTTGGGAAGGTCTCGTAGAGACCTTTCGAACGCCGCCTCGCGGGGCTCGATACGACCATTGGTTCTCGAGATAACAGGGGGGGGGTCGGATCCGACCCCCCCCCCCCCAGGCTGATGTGGGTACGGAAATAGCCCAGGCGGTGCCGGGTTTATGAGCAATGCGACTCAGAATAATTTGTTCTTTACGCATTTCAGATGGATTACAAGCCGTCGGCTAACGAGTCCAGGCGTATGTCGGTGCGTCTGACGTTCCTTATCGCTGAGACGGCCCAGAACCCGAGCGTCTCAGTGACGTTCCGAAGCTGGGAGACCGTGACGGCAGCCATACCGCTGATGACCGAGGTACAGCCCACACATAGCTTCACAAAGACACAAGGCTGCAAACACTAAATATAGGGATTCAGCAGGATTTATGGTGCATACTGCGATCTAACACCGTATATATTCCTGCATGCATATTGGATTGGATCAGCAATAGTTTACGCTTCAATGCGCTACTTTATTGTGACTATAAATGAACATAATGGCCGTTGCTGAAGTTAACCTTTAATGCAGTTTGTACCGACAATGAAGCCCTGAAACGCATGTTGCTGCTGTTTTCAGAGCCAGAGACCGAATGCCACCACTTCCAGAGCGTTCCAGATGGAGGGCAACATCACCAGCACTCTACCACGAACGTGAGCCCAGCTCTCATTGTGCAATACCTACCTACGATTGTAGTGCATTCTGCATGGCGCCTAGTATCTCAGTTTTCGAGTGTGAATACATCAACAAATTGGGGTCTCGCTGTGAATGTAAAGCTACCTAGATGTCAGTTTGAGGTTAATTGTGATAGCGACTTTTGATGTTACGTATGCAACGGCTTAAAAAGAAATGGGATACGGTGTACAGACAAAACGGGAAGGAGATTTGATGGCATTACATATTTGGGCTTAGAGCAAGATTTAATGGACGCGTTTTTACATTTGCTAGTCGATGTAATGAGCACCAACACATCCCAACTCCATCCAAATTACTTACAAAACGGTGTAAGGAACGAGTAGCGTACCAATGATCGATTTGAGCGCATTGCTTATGCAGACTAACATGTACATATGTGTTGAAATCACAGGCGAAACACCGTTAACAGCTATCACTAAACCTTCGTATTTTCAGCGGTATTTGACAGCGGTTTCCTCCTCCTCTGGCAGGGAGAGCACCAGCACCACGCTCTACGCCGGCGGCGTCGTGGCCTTCAACATGACCGTGTTCGTGCCGCCCGGCGGCAGCTACCCCGACTTCCGAGCGATGGCGGCCCGCCGCGAGACCGGCCTGGGTCAGCTGCGTCTCTGCCGTGCCAGCGTCGTCGCAGTGGGCGCCAACCTGCCCTGCAACCGGTACAACTTTGCCGACGCCACCACCGTTTTCAACAGGTGAGTCTAATACGAGATGCCTGCTTTCCATTTTTTTTTATTGCTAGCGAGCTGACGCTGCTGTGTGTTTGATGCGTTTTTACGCATGGTTGTTTGGGTTTAGTTGTGTGATCGCGGAGTTTTATCCATTGTTGTGCGGATGATAAATGTTGTAAATAAGTGACGCACCGAAATAAAAAGACAATGACGCTAAAAACGACAATAATTATGGCATCATTATTTGTAACATCGGCGAGACAGTCTTGTAGTTATCGAACCCTTAACCCTCGCCCTGGCAGGGGGGGGGGGGGTCGATGCGACCCCCCTAAGGTTTTTCGAAGATAGCGTAAAAACAGCGGCGCGCAGCGCCGCCAAATTTGGCACAGCCTATGGGGCAACCTTTTTACATATGACCTGAAAATTTCAGGTCCGGGTGACCTTGGGTCAGGTCACCAGGTCAGAAAAACCGGTACAAGGTCATGGTCAAATTTCAATTTTCTTTTTGCACCTATCCAACTCACAGTTTTGCACTGATTTCCTTCACACTTCAGGATGTGCTAAGGTCACCGAGTTGTATAACATATAGTTCGGGTTTTTTGAGGTCACTGACCTGAGGTCAGTTAGAGGTCATTACGTCGTAATGTTAAGCCTATGGGAAAATACTAAATTCGGAAAATACTGGAGATATCCGCTTCGTTCTATCACTTTTGTGCTTTGAAACCACAGTACTTAACAGCAGGTCACTTGGTGCTTCTTTGTTTGGAGTACTTATCCATGGGTCAGGTCAAATGAGGTCAACTGAAGTCAAATGACGTTTTTGCCAATAACTTGGCACATAATGACGCTAGAGCTTAAAAAATGGTATCATTGTGTTCCTGGTGATCAGCCGAATCGAATGATATGCGATATGATGCAATTTGGTTAACTTTAACTTAATTTATTAATTTAAGTTTACTTAAAATTTAAGAAAAACTTTAAGTACACTTAAGCAAGCTAAAAAGTATATCATTGGACGCGCCTTGACGTGCTGAGTTCACTGGTGCTTTTCTTTTTGCTCTATCTTAATTAGATCAAAAGTTATAAGCGAAAAACTTTTGACCTGTTTTTAGCGAAATTTTTACATTTATACCCCCCAAAACCCCCCTAAATATTGACCTAGAGCTACCAAATTTGCACAGGGGCGAGAACTCCAGGGGGCCCACCTACCTACCAAATTTGGTGTTTCTAGGTGCCATAGGAGCCAATCACGAGGGGGGGGGGTCGCATCGACCCCCCCCCTGCCAGGCCGTGTTATGAAAAATGCCCTGCCAGGGCGAGGGTTAACACTACAGAGTCATCAACCTCGTCTGCTCTTTTCCGTGCTGACCTCAGACTCGTGACCTTGCGCCTCCCCTTTCCTCCAGGAGTGACTTGTCACACAGCCACCCGGAGCCCGACACCGGCGCTGTCCAGCTGGGCTCGGTGTGCGCCGTTCCCACCGAGCTCCTGCACGGCGCACGAGACAACCTGCTGGTGGCCAACTTCGTGTACCAGCACCTGGCCAAGTTCGGGCCCAACAACACCTTCGAGGACAGCAACCTGCCCAACCGTGAGACGATTTGATAAGGGCTAGTGCCTTTCTGAAACACGCGCAAGAATTGAATTAATTCATCAAATTAAATTATCCAATTAAGCTATTGAATTAATAGGACTAAGCTCGAATTAGGCCAAGGGATGGTAAACTTCATAACCAGGCACATAGGATACTACATATCGTAGTAGTCTATGCCAGGCAGTAGTCTATGCCAGGCAATACTCTAATTATGCGATTCTGTGACGTACTTCTCGCACTTGCGGCTCAATAACGTATTTTAAAATTTATTATCTCTGTTTTGTTTTAGTCGTTACGCAAAATTTTCCATGGTATCATTCTTATTACATCAGCACTGGAATGCTATGATAGGTACCGCATAAAAACAAATAGTTATCAATGCAACATTATGAGATAAATCATTGAAGCGTTGGCTCTTACTCGAGCTGCAACTTTTCAGCGATCTACTTTAACGCCATTGTGGAGAGCGACGCTGTGGCGGGCGGTTTTGCTGCTCAGATCGGGTACGCCACGTCCACCAGCCGAGCGAAGCTGGCCGCCGTGCCCGCCAGTCAGCCGCGCAAGATCTGGGTGTCGGTCCGCGGCGCCGGGCCGTACCGCCTCGGCCAGACCGTGCTGGTCGACCTCAACTTCAAGGTCAGTCGCCGCGGGAGCGGTCCGGGGACATCGCTCCTGCAATGGAAATACGCATTTGCAAACATCACAACCGCCGATTTATAATTGATGATATTAAGTCAGCAGTCAGCACCGTACACCCAGTTGACATTTCAATATAAGCTACAAATCAATTCGATTCGTGATCCTATACAGGATTCCACATCCTATACAGGATTCCACATCCACTGCACACTGTGTGTTTGTGACGACGAACCTTGTGACGTTTGTTTCCGCCCCGTCAGTGGAATCCGGGTGTCATCTCGGACGCCTGGTGGACGATCACAGCCTCCGAGGGCGAGGACCAGGTCAAATTCTGCGACATCCGAGTCACCCACATCGGCGACAACTACGCCTGCAAACAGGAGGCCAAGCAGCTGCCGCTGATCCACAAGCAGTCCTACGACAGTCCCGAGTCGGATTACGGAGAGCGGACACCGTTCAACAGCTCCAGGGCCACGTCTATGGTGGCCCACCTGATGCGATACGCCAACGCCGGTGAGGCTGACGGCGGCCTGTAGAGGATGTCGAGTTGTTGACAGGATGGTACCTACTGCTATTGTAATTGGTGACACATTTGAGATATGGAAGATCGAAATCTTAGTGGATGTATGTTTAACTGATTTTTTTCATGATTATATCGCAGTTGATAGGATAAAAAAGTTTCTTTTTAAACTGAGCAGTGTCGATGGTATGTGCCGCTGACCGGGCGGCCGGTCACCGGCAGGCCTGTGGCCGACGTACGCCGACACCACCATCCAGGACGCCGACACGGTCAGCACGTCTGTGGCCGTGACGATACCAACCAGCGCCGGCACCACCGCCTCCTTCCAGGTCGCCCTCAACGAGGTCAACTTCGTGTGGACCGAGACCGTGCAGCTGCAGGTGGACACGAGCCAGACGGCCGTGGCCGCCGAGCCCAAATCACTCACCTTTGTCGCTGGTGAGATCCTGAGTTAGGGAGTTAAATTGAGGGAGCTGAGAATGGCGGCACCTGGGATGTTTGTCGTTCTCTTTAAATGCTGATAAATTTTTAAACAACGCGATAAATGTTCACAGACAGCGGTGAAGACTGGACCGTCTTCCCCGGTGTTCTGAAAACATTTGAAGTCGTTCTGGAGCTGGATGACAACTTTGAGCGTACCGTCCAGCTGGTGCTCGGGTCGGCCGACGATGTGCCCAAGTACGACGCCTGCTGCGCCTACGTCACCTTCGTCGGCGAGAACATCCCGTGCATCAACGTCGCCGAAATGGAGACGGAGATCTCAAAGAGCTCGTAAGTGATAGACATTTCGCTTATGAACGCCCAGCTGCGCTCGTTGATAATTTGTTTTGGACCAACGACTAAACAGAGCTGGGAATTTTATGTGAACTGACTATCTGATTTCATCAAACCTGTCAAATGAGGCAGTGGAACGGGCAAGATAGGCTGGCCTGGTAAAGCATACTAGTGGATCAGGATTAACAAAACCTCCCAGAAGATGCTCGACAGCAGCTCTGAGCCCGCCGGCCGCGGCCTACACCAACACCCTCCCCCTCCCCCTATCGCATCTCTCCTCAGACCCTCTGTGGCCGGTCACGACGTGCTGACGTTCGACATGGGCCGGCTGTGTTCGGTGCCGATCGCGCCGCGTAACACCACCACCCACCAGCTGCGGGTGACGCTCGGCGTGCGGCCGCACAGCGCGCTCACCGCCGGCGACCAGCTGGGTGTCACGGTCACCGTGCTGCTCGACGGCACCGTGATGGCTGCCGGAGCCGTGTTCGGCCAGACCCCGGCGCCGCCAACGACTACCGCCGCCGCCACCACTGTGGACGACGCTCCCCTGGCTGAGGGCGATATGGCGCTGTCGGAGGGCGATGTAGCCCCAACCGAAGGCACCACGGCCCCGTCTACGGCTCCTGTGGGCGATGAGACCCTGTCTGAAGGCAGTGCTACACCTTCTGGAGACGATACGGCAACGTCTGTAGAAAGTACGACGTCGTCTACCTCGTCTGGAAGTGATGCCTCGACGAGCGGTAAATATTGCTATTATTACACAAAGTGTTGTGTGCTGTTGGCTGTTGTGTATAATAGTATAGCTGAAAAGGTCCGATTGTTCCGTTGATGACATCTGATGAAATAACTAGGTATGCATTTGGACGGACTAGTCAAATTATTATGCCGTCGGACTGAGAGGACGGTTTGACGGACAGAAATCCACGTAGGTCCCTGTGCTCACCTGCCAACTGCTGCTGAGTGCTGCTGGCTGATCACGACTGCCCGTTTCAGGCCGAAAGCGCCGCTCGACTGGCCCCGGAGGACCACTCACCATCACATTCACCGTATCGGCCGACTCGTTCACGGGCGAAACGACTACCGTGAGTGCCGGCAACCGTCGAGGGAGGGAGGCGGCCAGTGGCGCAGCCAGGGGGGGGGGGGTCAGAGGGTCAGCTGACCCCCCGAAATTTCTGTCAGGGGCCCGCTCGAGAGAGAGAGAGAGAGAGAGAGAGAGAGAGAGAGAGAGAGAGAGAGAGAGAGAGAGAGAGAGAGAGAGGGAGGGAGGAGAGAGGCCCTAATCTAACCGGACGAGAGAAGTGGCCCGGGCCCCCTGGGTGGATGGGGCCCGGGTCCCCTGGGTGGATGGGGCCCGGGCCCCCCGTGGATGGGTCCGGGCCCCCGGGAGAACGGGCCCCGGGCCCCGGGTGGACGGGGCCCGGACCCCCGGTTGGATGGGGCCCGGGCCCCCGGGAGAACTGGCTCGGGCCCCTGGGAGAACGGGCCCGGACCCCCTGGGTGGATGGGGCTCGGGCCCCCGTGGATGGGTCCGGGGCCCCGGGAGAACGGGCCCGGGCCTCCCGGAGAACGGGCCCGGGCCCCCGGGAGAACTGGCCCGGGCCCCTGGGAGAACGGGCCCGGGCCCCCTGTATGAATGGGGCCCGGGCCCCCCGTGGATGGGTCCGGGGCCCCGGGAGAACGGGCCCCGGATGGACGGGGCCCGGACCCCCGTTGGATGAGGCCCGGGCCCCGGGAGAACTGGCTCGGGCCCCTGGGTGGATGGGGCCCGGGCCCCGTGGATCCCCCGGGAGAACGGGCCCCGGGTGGACGGGGCCCGGACCCCCGGTTGGATGGGCTCCGCGCCCCCGGGAGAACAGGCCCGGGCCCCCGGGAGAACGGGCCCGGGCCCCTCGTGGATGGGTCCGGGGCCCCGGGAGAACGGGCCCCTGGTGGATGGGGCCCGGAACCCCGGTTGGATGGGGCCCGGGCCCCCGTGAATGTGTCCGGGCCCCCAGGAGAACGGGCCCGGGCCTCCCGGAGAACGGGCCTGGGCTCCCGGGAGAACGGGCCCCGGGTCCCGGGTGGACGGGCCCGGACCCCCGGGTGGCCCCCGGGAGAACGGGGCCCGGGCCCCTGGATTGATGGGACCCGGGTCCCCTGGTGGACGGGGCCCGGAGCCCCGGGTGGACGGGGCCCGGTGCCCCAGGTGAACGTGGCCCGGGCCCCCATGTGGATAGGGCCCGCGCCCCCGTGTGGATAGGGTCCGGGTCCCCGGTTGAATGGGGCACGCTAGGGTGACCCGCTTGCTCCGCAACGCGAATAAGGGGCATTTTCGATCGGTGGGCGTTTGGTTGGTCTTGTGTCCGTGGGTTATGTATCCATTTCGGTCGATTGTTTTTTGACGGCTAAGCATTTTGGTTTGGGAAAAAATATCCATCGCATCGAGGTGCTGGTGTCTGATGAGCATGCGTTCTACTATAGAACATGTCATGTGTAGTTTATAACAAAGGTTGACGTAGGTCATTGAAAAATGAAAGCCATCGATGAGTTACTATGTAGAGGTTTGAAACATTTATATTTTTAAGAATACTGCTGCACGTCATGCAAAAGCGATGGTTGGATTTTGGACAAAATTGAATGCTCTTTCGAACTATGCCATGTTCAACTGTCAAACGTACCAGGTTATGCAGTAAAACCCGTGTAATTAAATAAGCCATTAACAAATACCATTTTCTCCAGCGATTTGTTCCACCTTGTTTTTGATCAATTAGCTTTTCACAATTTTTCCATGCGAGGCTGTGCATTTCTTTTGCCAACAGGCGTTGTTAGAACCCGCTCCGTCAAACAGTCACCCGAAAATAGCATAAAGTCCCAAATCTGTCCGAAACGTCAATTTTCCAGCATAAGTGCCCTCACGGGTGCACGTGGCGCGTGCCATCCCTGCACCGCACACCATTGGATAGCCCGTTCGATTCTCTACACGATACTGTGTTCTCCGATCGGGCCCACGGTTACCGAGATACTGCACGGGGACCGGACCCGTGTCGGGCAAATTTAGCCATTTTCGCACGATTTTGTAAGCCGATTTATACATGCATTGTAAAGTCTATGACGCGAATTTGCACTTTTTAAGCACGCGCCATGTGCTCGCTATCGATCCGATCGAGCTGCGACCCTCAAAGGCACGTTACCCATCCTTGATCTATAAATCGCGAAAATTTCAGCGCACTAGGCGCAACGGTCTGGCCTGTACTCCGCGCTAAGTAACACCATGCCGGGATCTCGATAGCAGACAGAATCTACGTCACCACATCACCACACCACAACAAACCCGGCCCAAGGCAATACATGTCCCATATGAGCGCGTTAACCCTCGCCGGCACAAGCCATTCCAGCCATTTTGCGTCCTTCGACGGCACAAGGGGGAGGGTGGTACGGTACGACCCCCCCGCGTTTGGCCCATGATCGAGCTTGAGCTTCGCGAAAAAAGGAACGTGTTGCCCGTGACGAGAGTAAGCCGTTGATACTCAATTTTAAGGTTCTTGGTCATTGGTTGACCTTCAATGACCCAAAAATATGGAAAATCGGGACCTGTTAGAACGTCGTAAAGTGTAGCTGCTATAGGGTTTTTCGGGGTGCTGATCACGAATAGTTATCATGTTAGTTTTGATCACAGATGATGTCTTTATGCTAAATGCAGGTCAGGTCGGGTCAGGTCAGGTCAGGTCAACCAGTAGGAGTCCTGCCGGGTATTTGTAGTATCTACGTGTCAGCCGCCTCTAGCAGCTTCGTAACATGTTACGAAGGCACCAAAACTACTTCGTGAATGTTCAAATGGTTGCTAAATTCGAATTCAGCTCCATAAACTAGCCTAGAAACATGTATAATTTGAAAAAGTACCGAGGTCTTAGGTCAATGACTTGACCTGACCTTCAGGTGACCTTGACACCCACTCTAATGCATGGGAGCAGCATCTACTCACATGTTTGAACGCTTGAAACCACGAAAAGACTGCAAACGCGCGGCTAATGCGAGTCGGCATACGCCGAAACGCGATTCTGGCCAACCATGGTCTCGGAAATTAGGTCACAGGTGAAAGGTCATTTGAGTCAGGGTCATGCAATTTCTAGGGTAGGTGTAAAACTGATCAACGCGAGGGTACTGAATGTGTTGTCGCGATCAGCCGCTTTTTACGCAAGTTATTCGTGAAAACCCTTAACCCTATTCCTGGCGGGCTCCGCCGGGACAAGAAACTGGCGGGGGGGGGGGGGGCCGATTCGGCCCCCCCCTGAGATCTCGAGAACGAAGCCAGATAGCGACAAACGGTAAACGGCATCGGATACGCACGGTCAAGATCTACAATTTTTACTAAGGTCATTTTCAGGTCAGGTCAAAGATGACGTCACAGGGGTCGAAAAAGTTAAAATGGCGGCGCTAGATATGGAGAGAGTTTTTCTCGAATAACTTTCGAATTAGTCAAGATAGGAACAAACTAAGGGCATCATCGTGATCCTCTCGTCAATCCGCATCGAATGATATATATGTTGACCTCGCAAGGTCAAGGTCAAAGGTTGACCTCAGGTCACGTGACCTCGAGGTCATCATGTATATCATTCGATGCGTCTTGACGAGCTGAACACAATGAGACCATCCACGCGTCTGTATCTTGTTCCTGTACGGAGTTATTGGCCAAAAACCTTTGGTGACCTTTGATGACGTCACATGACCTCACAGCTGCCCAACAGCAAAACAGACCTCAAGGTAGTGAAGGTTGATCGTATATGAAGTCATGTATGGTATATGGGGCCATTTCGACCCGTTTTAGTGGTAAAAACAGGGAGTTGATTTTTCCCCCATTGACTTATAATGGGGAGGTCGCGAAACTGACCTGACCTTAGGTCACCGATATCAAAATTCCGAGATATACAAATTGCACATACTGGTACCCTAACTAAAGCCTGAAGAGAAGAAATTGATCGGTCAAAAACTCTAGCTCTGGCGTGATTGCAAACTTTTCTGAGGTAGGGTCACCAAACCGCCTCTGGTGACCTGACCTGAGGTCAGATCAACTTAAAATTTTCAGACATGTTGCGTAGAAGCCTTTTAGGAAAAGTCTAAAAATTTGAGCTTCCTAGCTCAACGCGTTTGGGAGAAATAACCAAAAAACCTCGGGGGGGCTCCTGAAGCCCCCCCCCGCCAGGAATAGGGTTAAGGGGTTGCATCATCCCCTCCCCCCTGTGCCGGCGAGGTTTAAAACTTCTTGTGATCGAATTTACGTAATGAAGAAGGATAAAGGCACAATCTTCTACAGCAGCCAATAGATGACTTAGAACAGGCATATGGAACTACATAAATCTTGTCCGATAGAAGCAGGCTACAGCTCCGTTTGCATATAGGTATGCTATGCATATTGCGGAAAGGGCACATTTCGTCCTCGAAAGATACGAATTCATACGTCATAGTAACATATTTCTGTCATGGGCAATTCGCGTAGAAATTGAACACCGGGTGATTACCGAGCTATTGTTCTATCAAAATTTTCCGATTCAAACTCGCTCAGGGTTATCGTGTAGGTAAAGGGGGCCCGCTCAGCAGAATGCGTATGAAATATGGAAAGATTCTAAAAAATGGGTGGGGGCCCGCACACTAGGGGGCCCGCTTTGGAGGCGATGACCCCCCCGAAACGAAATCCTGGCTGCGCCACTGGAGGCGGCACTTACACAATTCTAAACATGTGCCGAGAGTATTACCAAGTCCAGCTGTATTGAAGCTGTATTCTGGGCACTTCGGCAGGGCGAGATCTCTCTGGTCAACTCCTCTGACTCCACGCCGATGACAAACATGAGTGGCACGACCTGGGCGCGCTTCAACGTCTCTGTGCCGACCAGCTCGGTGGCCAAGCTCAGCCTGGTGGTGACTGGCTACTCGGAGCACGGCCGGGCAGCGGTGGTCCCCACCGGAGGCCTCAGGTCAGCCACTCCCGAGCGCTGACCACGGGGGTCGAGTCAGGTCATTGAATGTGCATGCGCGGGTGTGACAGACCACCTGTGAGTTGACTGCATCAGTCAAAAATGTAACATAGTTTAATACTTATCGATGTTCAGTAAATTCCGCTTTGCCAATTAATTATCTATCATGACTCTCAAAAATCATTCGTACAATGTTGTAAGCTTAGGTAATGCTACCGAATTTTCAACGAATGTGAAGCTCCCTGCCCCCTGCGTCCTTGTTTTTCTGACTTTCCGACTCTCTGTCGGCAGATTTTTGGGCCGCGGACGGAACGTGCCCTGCGCTGCCCTTTCGGACCTGAATGACACCATCGAGCTGTCCAGCACTCTGTCCAACTCGCAGAATGACGTCATCTCCCTGGACGCAGGATACGTCACTAATACAGGCACGGTATCTTCCTCTTTTAATGAAGTGGTTATTTCAGTGATCGCTCTGCAGTATCCGTGCTAAAACCAGCACAGGTGCATATAAAAACCCTCTGACGCCGTTGTCTGTGACTCTGTCCGCCGTTCGGTGTTTCCCTGACACCGCTGTCTGTCCCCGATGCGGCCTGTGACCGTGTCTGGCCTGCAGGGATGTCCCGCGTCCGGTATCCCAGTCCGGACTGGGTGGAGACAGACGACATGGTGCAGTTCGAGGTCGAGCTCCGGTTCAGCGACCACCCTCGGGCCACCCACGAGACCCCGCTGCCGGTCACCCTGCAGGTCAGGAACGGTAACCATAATCAGTGGCAATCACAAGCCAGAAATGATAACACTAGGTGGACCTCGCTAAGCTCAAACCAAAAATCAGAAAGGGCTCCGCTGCCAACCGTGCTACAAATCAGTAAGCTCAGTCTGTCAGCCATTCTGAGAGCCAGAATGTTCTCCCGTTGTCGGTCAATTTACGGGTCACAGTGGACAGAAGATCCTTGGATCGACCTCATATGACCTGAAAGTGTTCTAACTGCTCCCAATGCTTCCTGAAGATCCGTGAACGATGACAAGAACAATTAATCTGATATCACCAGTTCATACACGACGGAATTGCCTGCATCTAGAGCAGCTCACATTAAGAAAACTCTGACGCCCCCTAATGATGCCATAGATCCGTCTTCTAGTGCTTTTTTCGAGCGCTTGAAAATGAAGTAAGAAGTGCTATCCTTTTGTATAATGATGCACTTGCTTTTTTCTAATGCTTTTCGTATCCGTAGGTGAGGTACGGCTCCCTGGAGAGCACCATCACCCAGGGCGTGGCTCTGCAGCGGCTCGGAACGGAACTGCCTGACATGGAGCTGGTCGCCTGGGCGGACAACGACCTCCCCTACCTTCCGAAGTCAGTCACCAGCTACAGAACTCTATGAACGCCAAAAGAGCCAGGTTCTTGAACATCATTAGAGACATAATGAAAAAAGTTAATTATATAATTTGCATTTCTTTCACCTGTTCAGATATGTTTAGCTTCGTATGGTGCAGAAGAGGGGAAGACGCTCGGTCCTGCTTTTTTAGCTTTTGACTCCGCTTGTAATCTGGTGATTGGTAAGAGTAAACGCGGCTCATAGATGGACAAAGAATAAACGCATATGAAATGAAATGAGACACTGACTTCGTTCCGATGTTGTCCCTGCCCTGCAGCGCTCAGGTGCCGGTGGACATCATCGTTCGGAACCGCCCGAACGCCACTGCGGACGCCATCAACGCCACGGTGACGCTGGCGCTGCCGCCCTACATGGCGTTCGGCTCGGTGGCGTGGACCAACTTCAGCGAGCCGCCGGCGGTGGCCGTGCGCCGGCACGCCGTGCTGCTCAGCTGGCCTCGCCTGCTGCCCGGAGAGGGCCTGCACGTGCAGCTGCTGCTCACCGTCGACCCGACCAACAAGCGCGGCCACGGCGCCGGCTACGCGGCCGCTGGCACACCCATCTTTCTGCGCGCCACCATGTTCCGCAGGTGGGTGGGGCTCTGTGGAGTACTGGCGATCCATGCTCCGAGTCTGGGGATAGGATAATCCATGTCTGGGGATAGGATAATCCATGTCTGGGGATAGCTCCAAGCGAGGGTAATAAAAGATGGCGGATGCGACCGACCCTCCCCGCTGGTGCAGGATGATATGGAGATTTGTTGAAGTTTTAACTACGATCGAGATGCTCTTGTAGGTATTTCTTTTGCTTTAGTTGTTTGGCCTTGATTTGATTTCCTGAAACATTTTGCCATTCGATGGTTTATTTGATATTTCGAGGAGTTCAAACATTGAAAATTAGCTTGACATGGTTTTTCATAATCGTTGTGTAATATGGAAATGTTTTTTGCAAATAAAGAAACAGTCGGAAACCATACTTCCCGGGATAAAAAACGAATTTCGAAAGGATTGAATGGCTTACATTCCTCAAATGTAACATAAACATCCGCATCTATTTCCCTAGGATTACAGGGGTGGAGAAATATGCCGAGTTGGGGATGCACGGGCGCAGCAAATCCGCCGCCGGCCTAGCGGTGACCTTGACCTCCGCCGTCTGGTGCGGCTCCAAAGCCAAGCCGGCGCAGCCGGCGTGGAATTGGGAAGTCTCGTGCTACCCCAATTTGGCACAATTGTCCACCCCTGCCTAGGAATTGACAAGGAGAGAAAAAGATGTTTCATGGCTTAGCAGAAACAATGACCTTCCCAATATTTGTCAGGTACGGTATTCCGACACTGGAGTCCGGGGTGTACCCGCCGCAAGGAAAACTTTGGTACCCGATGGCAACACCGACTTACATCAACTTCGACGTCAATAGCGAAGGTACGATTCCACTCAGTTATGTCATGCTAAGGTTCTGGATGAAAAGTCGCTGAACATTTACCGCGTAGGTTCAATGCACCAAAGCATTAGAATACACACAATACACATTAAATTAATTAAACTGTCGTTTCAGACTGTTACGAGCCGCTCGGAATAGCCAGCGGCCTGGTTGCCGACTGTCAGCTGTCAGCCTCGTCCGCTGCCGAAGACTCGCGGCTGGCTCACATGGCCAGGATGGGGCCGTGCGCCGCCGACGGCACTGGCGACACGTGAGCAGAACACACGAGTACCCTACACTGGCTGCTGAGTACTTAGGAGCACCAAGCACCGAGCGTAAAATCATTAAAACGGCTGACAAAGGATATCGCCGCCTTACATAACGACAGCATCTGCTACACATTGTGCTAGTCAGAGATATGGCACACGGAGATAACTTTTTTATGTTCGATGAGCCATTGTCATGTGATTATGATGCTTATTGCTTAGACAACGTTGCATGCAATTTTTATGATCGTGGTGTGCCTAAAAAATGTAATGTCGGAACTAATTGATAATTAAAGCTAAGAGAAAACGTCTAACAAAGCTTGTCTCTGTTTTATAGGGACACCAGCACCCCGAAGCCGACAACGGACCAGGGAGTCGCAGCACCATGCGTCGGTTCCTCAGGTGGGCTATAGCTATATAGGTAGTTGTGCTTCACTCAATATACCCTGGTCGTGCTGACATATGTGTGAGCCGTTTTGATTGAATGTAATGTAGGCAGTAGGTACCCCCCCCCCCTACCAATACCTTATCATCGACGATATGTGGCGCTGTACAACACGAATTTCAATCAGTTTTATTTATGCCTATGCATCGTGATTCCATACAGCATGGTCATGCATTTCCACACCGTTGTTGTAAGCATACCCCTTGCAAAGATGGAGAATATAGACGACAAACCTTCGGACATTTGCGTACATTTTATAATTACTTTGAAATGCCCTACGTTGTGGCTATGCAACACTGCATTAAGTGGCAACTAAATCGGAGATGAGAGATGTTGCAGGTTGCCGCATCAGTACCCGTCACGGATATGTGTATGGGCGTGTTCGTGTATCGCCTGCAGGCTGGTCGCCCGAGCAGCGCGGCACTCCCTTCATCCACTGGCATCAGGTGGACTTTGGTAACCTGACGCGGGTCACTGGACTATTGGTGGCCCGACCGGCCGGCACCCGCCGGGTCACCCGGTTCCGGCTCCAACACAGCCTGGCCGGCACCGTCTTCCAGGACATCGGACCGGTCAGCAGAGCACTCATATTAGCGATATCAATACAACATATTTTAGAAAATAGCGTCACATTCAATGATTTAAAGGTAGTGTGCCACCTTTGAAAGATTTCCCATTTTATTTTTCCTAGGATAAGAAGCTTCTGTTTTTACCTAATTTCGCAAAAAAAAAAATCAAAAATGGGCCTGGAATAGTGCCTTTTTCGCCTAAAAGTTTTTCGGTTTTTAGATATGTATAACAACTGTAGTGGGCTCACCTGCAAACAGGCGTCGGGCAACAATCGCGAATGCGGCGCACTTGTGACAATAAGCAAAGGTCATTATAGTGTTACGACCATACGACGTACGGGAATGAGTTATCAGCTGTCTAATCGTAGACAACACAATGTCGAGCCTTAACCCGCGCGGGGCTGGGGTCTCCAGCCGAACGCGCGGGGCTGGGGGGGGTAAATTTTACCCCCCCCCTGTTATCTCCCGAACTAATGGTCCGATTTGGAAAATTCAAACGCCAATCGAAAGCTCTCATCACGAACTACTAAAAACATGTACTTAATTTAAAGTTTGAGGTCAAGGTCAAGGTCAGGTCAAGGGTACAAATTGCAAGTTTCTACAGTATCGGCCTTGCACCGTAGTTGCCGAAGAATGGAGTCATGGACCGAGACTGATCGCCCAAAACGTGTTCTTAGGCTACCAAGACAACATTCGTTGCATACAATATCATTCAGAGGTCAAGGTCAAGGTCAGGTCAGGTCAGGTCAGGTCACCAAAAAACAAAATATAGAAAAGGGCATGTGCGACACATGTTTTATGGGTCATTTTACTCATAGAATTCAATAGGCACACTCAATAAGTGATATGGACCACCTCTGGATGAATTTCAGGTCGAGGTCAGGTCAAGGTCAGGTCAAGTGAGGTCAAATTTTGAAGTTGGTTGTTAAGGCCTAAAAAGGTGTCTATCTGATGCAGTTTTTCACGGCGAATCGAATGGTGCTATTTTTGTTTCCGTACGAGGTCTAGAACTTCCAAAAAAGTCATTTTTCAAAAATTTTGTGTGTCGTGACGTCATAAAATTTTGAATAACTCCCACATTTTTGAACCGATTCTTCTAAAATTTGGTATGTAGGTGCACATAGACCACTTCTCTGACATATATTCCGGTTTTTTCGATAGACTCAAAATTTTGGATTTTATAATGATTTTCCCAAAAAAGTCAGTTTTTTGAAAAAATTTTGGCCAAAATCCAAAATTTTCAAAAAACCGAGATAGCCATTTGATAGACAAAGTAAAATTACGTATAACCTTTTTTGTTACGTCTTGATTCCTTTAAAAATAAAGATGTTAGCGGCGTTTGAACTTTTGCCGTTTTTGAGGCGAAAATGGCGAACATGACGTCACTAAAACGTCAATTTCTCAAAAATTTTCCGACGGATTTCGCTCAAATTTTCAGGGAACGTGTCAAATTGATGTAAGAAAAGGTACTGAAAGTTTGGCGGCGCTGCGCGCCGCCGTTTTTAAGATATCGCAAAAATTCGCGAGGGGGGGTAAAATTTACCCCCCCCAGCCCCGCGCGGGTTAACCCTCGCCGGACCTATTGGTTTTCTACATACGCGCCGGCCGAGGGGGGGGGGGCGGGTACGACCCCCCCCTCGCCGTTTCGCCCCTGGTGGAGCTAGCGCGTCGCGGAAAAAACGAGCGTGTGCGCCGTTACGAGACGCAGAGATTGGTACCCGATTTTAAGGTCCTAGGTCAACCGGTGACCTCTGAGGTCAGGTCAAGTGCCCCAGGGTACGGTTCAGTTTTTGGTGAATAACTTCGCAAAAAACGGCCGCAGAGCGCCGATTTTGGCAGCATCGTGTTCGCCTCGCTCAGGCGCGTCGAATGATATACTTTTTGTCCGGGTCAGGTCAACTTGGGGTGTTGACCTCAGGTCAAGGTCAGGTCAGCACCCCCAGGTCACGAAGTTGGTCGAAAGAGGTCATGTCGCATATCATTCGATTCGGCAGGCCTTCCTGAGTCCATTGGTGCCTTTCCCGACTCGCTAGCTCAATTTGATCAAGAGTTATTGACGAAAAACTAATTTGACCTTGATGACGTCATAAATGACGTCACGCAAGGTCAACATTGCAAAAGTGACGCATCTAACCTTGCAAGGAGTGCATCAAGTCACGATTTTGTGTGCTTGAGATAGTTGGAGATCGTTCCCGGCGCCAGAATAGCAGTTTGAATTTTTCCCCATTGACTTATAATGGTGAGGTCACGAAAATGACCTGACCTCATATGACCTTTAGGAAAAATCCGAGATATACAAGTTGTGGGACTCATAATGGATACTAGATCCTGCAACTTTCATTTCCCTGTGACATCTCCTCTGGCAGTGAGGGCGTTGCGAAGTTGCGACATCTGAAGACCGTGCAGAGGTTCACTTATGACGTCATAGGTCAGTGACCTGACCTGACCCAAAAATGCAGTTGGTGTCAAAAGATCCGGCTTGGATCAAAGGTCAGGTATGCCAAGTTTCAGCTCTCTATCGCCAGCGTGTTCGGAGCTATCGCGAAAAAACCCTATGGGGGGGGGGCGGCACCCGCCCCCCCCCCCCTCGGCCGGCGAGGGTTAAACTGTAAGCCCGTATTGGTATTGTTTCTTTTATTTGGCTGTCGAACATTATTTATGGTTTGAAATATGATTTTATGTAAAATAATTGATATGAAAAAGCCGTCTTATAAGTTATGACCCCATTTCACCACACGCAAGTGGCAGTAATGACAATGATCAGCTGACGCATTTTTCTTGGCCGAAGTCAGAGCGCGCGGCCCGACGCACCACGCATATTTGGAAATTCCGACCTCGACGAGCATCAGAAGCCACCTAACAGGCGTGTTCGAAACCGCAGGAGATGATGATGAACGGGTTTATCGAAACTTGATTGGATGAGCATATCGGTAATAGCGATTACTGTATGCCTGGCCTATTCAAATACATTAGCCTGAGGGGTGTGGTAATAACTGGTGTAAGCAAAGTGACCACGGTCAAAAACGAATTACCAAGTCAACATTTTGGGATGGCCTCGTTCAAAAAATGGCTAAGAGCTTCGGTCTAGACAATTATTTTATCGTTGGCATACAGTAAAATACATACCAAACTCGGCCGGTGATAAATTTTCAAGACCTCAGTCCTTACTGATTTTTGAACTCGGCCTTCGGCCTCGTTCAAAAATTCAGTAAGGACCTTGGTCTTGAAAATTTATTTACACCGGCCTCGTTCAGTATTATATATTTCAGTGTGTGCATTTATTGTTCATAGTGGTGTGAAATGTGGTTGGGGTACGACCGACAACCCGTCGGGGCGAATTTCGCACTGGGGTACTCAAAATTTGAAGAATTTAAGACGTTTCCATGAGTTTTGAAGGTATGGATAAGTTCTAAAAATCCGGTTCTCCTTATCTGGGCCATTAACTCCATACGGTCCAAGAAAGCTGGCACACTACCTTTAATAGTAAAGGTCAAGGCCATGGTGGTCTTGGCCTTAGCGAAGACCTAGGTCAAGGCCTTAAAAAGTGTGTCCTTTCATGAATGTTTGTATATATTTTCGTGGCACAGAGGTCTTGGTTTAATCTCACATCATCAGTTTGATGATGAGCTTCATTTGACTTGAGAAACTTTTGGTTCCCGCGGCGTCTCTGGTATGTACGACTGCATTCTGGAGCGCCTCCTCTGCCACAGGTGATGGCGCTCAACTGGAGCTCTCTGCACAGTGACGAGGTGGTGACGCACAGGCTGGACCGGGCAGTCGAGACGCGCTACGTGCGATTTGTTATAGAAGAGGCCGAGACAGGCGATGACAAGTACATCGGACTGCAGGTACGGCTACATGACCACCTGGGAAGGCGGGGTCGGGATCTCATCTTTATATGGGATTGGCAGTGAGACAGCTTAGTGGCGAAGTAGATACGGGAAAGTGTTCGTAATACAGCGCAAATCTAGCTGTATCCAGGGTATGTATGTAACACAGTTCAGTAGCAGTTCATTAATTGACGGACTTTACAGGACATTTTCAGCTGGCCGAGCCTTGTGCACTCGCTAATCGCAGTGCTTCCTGCTACTTAGAGCTTATGCGACATATATATATATATATATATATATATATATATATATATATATATATATATATATATATATATATATATATATATATATATATATATATATATATATATATATATATATATATATATATATATATATATATATATATATATATGTATATATATATATACATATATGTGCTCACTGTATCTGTGACTACACAGACGTGCTATTAGTGTTTCCGCGAATGTGGTCGCCTGCTGCGTATAGCTGTCCGTGTCTCGCTGTGTATCTGCGCCGACTGCTGTCGTCAGGTGGAGTACCTGGGCTGTCGGCGCTCCACTGATGTGCTCCAGGAGACGGTCTGTGCTGTCCAGCCGGCCACACCGTCCGCCGCAGACGGTAGGCGCTCGGCGCAGCCACTCGAGACGGAGCTATTTTCACTGCCTTTTTATGCCTATAGCTTTGTTTACAGAGTACGCCATTACAATGCAATAAAGAGCAGCTTTGGCGCTCTATGACTACGTACCGGATACAATTTAATTGTACTTCATATTATTTTACACTCTGTTGACTTTAAGTTAGGTACCAATTTCTGGAAATGAGCCGAACTTTTAGCTGGTACAAAATCTAAGGCAATGGAATGGAATACCGCTACGACACAGATAGATTCGGCCTTCGGGGATATCCGACATCTGAACCCAACTACGCCATTGCGTTATCCACTGAACTTGGCGTGTAACCTCCCATATTTAGCTGCGGTCACGTTTAAACACGCGTGATCTTTACCGACGTCGGTGGAAGATAACTCGCCGACATCGCAGAACAAAACAGCGCTCTGAACTTATACTTACCAACTGGTGCTCTACATGCCTACTGAGTACTGAGTCAGTATTAGATTCCTTATTTGACGACTTAACTATTTACTGACCGTAAAACAGATGTACGCTTATTGCTAATACTTCCGATAGATTTTGTTACACGCTCTGAAATGACAAACTGTCTCATCTTGCTATTCTAATCCGGCAAAAATTAAAGTCAGAATGGTATTACCAGACAGGCGAATTTCTTAGTTCCCCTGTTATGTTATTCAACTTTAACCCTATTCCTGGCGGGGGGGGGCCTCAGGAGCCCCCCCTGAGGTTTTTTGGTTATTTCTCCCAAACGCGTTGAGCTAGGAAGCTCAAATTTTCTGACTTTTCCTATAATGCTTCTACGCAACATGTCTGAAAATTTTGAGTTGATCTGACCTCAGGTCAGGTCACCAGAGGCGGTTTGGTGACCCTACCTCAGATAAGTTTGCAATCACGCCAGAGCTAGAGTTTTTGACCGATCAATTTCTTCTCTTCAGGCTTTAGTTAGGGTACCAGTATGTGCAATTTGTATATCTCGGAATTTTGATATCGGTGACCTAAGGTCAGGTCAGTTTCGCGACCTCCCCATTATAAGTCAATGGGGGAAAAATCAACTCCCTGTTTTTACCACTAAAACGGGTCGGAATGGCCCCATATACCATACATGACTTCATATACGATCAACCTTCACTACCTTGAGGTCTGTTTTGCTGTTGGGCAGCTGTGAGGTCATGTGACGTCATCAAAGGTCACCAAAGGTTTTTGGCCAATAACTCCGTACAGGAACAAGATACAGACGCGTGGATGGTCTCATTGTGTTCAGCTCGTCAAGACGCATCGAATGATATACATGATGACCTCGAGGTCACGTGACCTGAGGTCAACCTTTGACCTTGACCTTTCGAGGTCAACATATATATCATTCGATGCGGATTGACGAGAGGATCACGATGATGCCCTTAGTTTGTTCCTATCTTGACTAATTCGAAAGTTATTCGAGAAAAACTCTCTCCATATCTAGCGCCGCCATTTTGACTTTTTCGACCCCTGTGACGTCATCTTTGACCTGACCTGAAAATGACCTTTGTAAAAATTGTAGACCTTGTCCATGCGTATCCGATACCGTTTACCGCTTGTCGCTATCTTGCTTCGTTCTCGAGATCTCAGGGGGGGGGGGGCCGAATCGGCCCCCCCCCGCCAGTTTCTTGTCCCGGCGGAGCCCGCCAGGAATAGGGTTAAATGAAGCCCAAAACATTATATTGCATTGTTTATTTCGACAGCAATTACAATACCTTTTTCTTAGAAAGTCTTGTCATATTTGGTTTACACCTTTTAGTGACACATACCTATGCCTACTATGCTTGAAACGTTAAACGCATGAACATTTTGATCGATGTACATATTAGCATTTTGATCCATGCAACAACATGTTTGTATGAGATATTTCAACTTCGACTCTCGCCTCCTTTTCAGCTGCGAGAAATAGACAGTTTGCTGTCGATACAGCAAATAATCACATATACTTCTGCGATTTAATTCAATCAAGGTACGTACGTAATGTCAAGGTTCAGATTTTAGAGGCATATCTATTGAAAGTATTCGAATTATGGCCGTAATTCTAAACGTATGCATTGGCGCAGCGCAATGCTGTACTTACCGACCGCTCGCTAGATGGCAGCAAGAGCGGCGCCTGATGTCATACTGTGCCGCAGAACACAGTCTTGGTCAATGCACCGATCGAAGAGTTGCCGCCAGGGTTTTCGCATCACTAGATTGCAAGCTGTTAATTTCTGCTGATAACACGTATACTTTTGAAATAGTGATGCAAATATGATCGTCAACAGCCAGGAACAGCCTACATCAAACAAGTGCATAGGTATGCTGTACTTTCAAGTACCTATCTAGCTCTTTTGATGGCTTCCGTATCTGAGCTATGTCTGCTAGATCGTTATCTGGCATTTTAGCCCACATTAGTGGTTTTCTGCTCACTGAAAATAGTTTTACAGTTTCAGCGTAATATCTCATCATAGGATGCTCCGTTAGCTTCACACCGTAATTTATCACCTCGATATTTACGAATCGTGCCCGCTATTTTGGTCAGGGGTCGGCGAGCCTGTTACGTCTCGCACGACTCGAGCAGCTGGCGACAGCTGCCGAACGTCATAGAGCGGATGGTCGGCTTTGACGAGTCGTCGGGTAAAATATACGGCGCTGGGAGGAGCCCGGACACCCTGCTCTGGAGCACCGACGGCGGGAACACCTGGGCTCCAGAGGCCAAGGTACGGCGATTGACCTGCCACCTGACGGTCGGTGTGATAAGGACTAGTAGACAGGCAGCAGCACTGTCAACTTTGGGTTTGCAAAGAACAAACTACGAGACTATAATCTTGACCTACTCGTATAGCTAGTCCGTTCAACCGATTATTTACGTGGCTCAAACCAGTTTCAACATTAAATATGTAGAAGAGGATCATGATATGATCTCATTATATAATGGCCCCAGTTCATACGAATCATGGCGCTTTTGAATTAGGTGGGATGTTTCTACTAACCGCATTTTAACGTACCTATCTTATCGCAGAGCGCAGACCTCTCTAATTGTATGAGCACCTTCGCAGCTAATTTCCAGTGCTGCATCAGCTTATACACCTACATTTCAGGCTGACTTCGAGGCGGTGTCTCAGGCTGGAGGTTTCTTCTCGGCTGTGGACGTGCCCTCGCAGGCCTCAGGGTCGGCCGGTTTCACAGACCGTATTATAGGGGACTGGACGGCCAGCTACCACGGCCTCAGCCAGGGCGGCCAGCTCAGGGTCAAGTGGTCAGCGCTGACCTGTAGCACCTGAACGCCTGGGGCGCCTCTGAAAAGGTCAATATCCGCCCCTGATGGTCCTTGATCAGTGATTACGCAGATCTGTGACTATGACGCTAACAAGCTTCTGATTTGTATCATTGAGAGACTTTTCGGCTTCGTTGGCCCTGATTTGTCGTTATTTTTGATGAGTTAACGGTTTCCATAGTTCTTTATATTGTCATGCGTAGTGAATTAGAAATATTTTTGATTGCTTTCTCAAGTTTCCCGCGTTTGAACAATTTATTTCTATGAAATATTTTGTTGTAATTTTCGTTGATGCAATAGCATCAACGTGCTATTTTGGATTGCACATGAACGCTTCGCACATGAATCAATAAACGTTTATGAGCATATTTTAGGCTCACACCTCACATTCACAACGCTCCAGGTTGACGGATATAGTGCTAACTGCCTTATATAACAAAAACACAGGCTTCTTTATGTAATCCTACATGTTTATCTTTTTATATGAGTAAGTTTTGGGATGCATTAATCACTTGATTACTTGACTTCATCGCCAAGAAGGTGGTGCCACTTGATAATCAGTTGACAGTTTTGCAAGTTCCGTGTAGAAGATGAAGCGGTTTATGTTGTCTACATTGCATTACGGCTGGCGTGCTCCCGTATGCACGCGTGCATATATCCCACACTGAACGTATCGGTAACGCAATAAACACGACGCGGTAACAGCCGTAGCGGCCATCGCCGGTACATACTACGTGCCAGTGGAACCGGACGCGACTTTCTGCGTGTTATCCTCCCGCGTGGTCTAGTCATGCCCCCCCTCCCCACGCTCCCCTCTCCACCCCCCCCCCCCCGGCCGGTGGGGGCGGTCACGGCCGGTCCTAAAGTGACGAGCGGCCGGCTGGTGAACTCCACCCTGCAGTAGCGTGACTGGACGGCCGGGCTGGGGCTCGCGGTGCCGCCGGGTGCAGAACTGCAGACTGCTGTTGTTGGGCAGAGCTTTATCGGTGGGTGGAACTCATGGCAAATCCTTACTGGTGATGGTAGCTTGGATAAACGAACCACACTTCTTCGTAGTCTTTTGCTTGCTGTCACCGCATGTGGGTTCAAACACAAGAATAGTTATTATTAATTTGTTTTGAAGCTTGCATACATACGAATAGTTTTACATTTAAATTAAATGTATTTCATCACTCTGGTGGGACACTATAAATGGGATGTTAGTAATCACAAGCGGCTGCTTCATGCACTGTTGCACAGACGGATAGGAGCCAGACGTCGCCATACAGCGATGCTTCTGAAACATGTCACCAGGTTTCAGCGTTCAGCGTAACTCGGGCCTCGTGTGATGTAATGTAAAGGGCGTACCCAAGTCCTCCCGGTTAAGATTGTTTCACTCCAGCGCGCTTTCCGAGTAGAGAGAGCATTGACCGGGGCCAGAGCAGAGTGCAAACCGCACACACGCTGGATTACGATGGGTTCATGTCGCTGATCCCTGATCCGCGGCGCACTTCGGTCTGACAAATGAAATGTCACCGAGTCACCAGATCACCGGACGACTGAAAAATGGCGTCACCGAGCCGCCACGAGGTATCGGTCATGTCGCCGAGCCTGTGTGTCGCGAGCTGACAGGTTAGACATGCTGTGGTCTTCCGGTGGTGGTCTGAGTTTTCGATGGAAGGGACATGAATCAGGGACATGAATTGCGATGGTGAGCTGTTGACTGCGCCGTGGTACTTACATACCCCGCGCCAGCGCAGCAATATTCTACGATATACAGTGCGTGCGCGCACGATAGAAACGCAAATGCACCACTCATGTGTTATTTCATAACGTCGTTAATGGTATCTATATGAAACGGATCAACGTGTAGCTGCAGCAGACATGAATAAAATAACACATGCATTGCTATGCTATGAGGTTACACACAAACATGCTCTGCTTCATCTTCGTCGAAAGCTGTCTGAACACTCCCGCGCTAACGTTAGAAACGAATTTCTCTGAATAATGAGCTCGACTTTTTTACGAGAGTGATAAGAACATGGTTTGCTACCTTTGATGCACTTGGTATTTGCTGCGATTTCAATGATGAAGCAAGCGCCGCTAAACATTAACATTAATCTCAAACGTAATCATAGTACGAAACGCGTCCATATGCAATACGTTCATTAGAATGTCATCTCACATGTCACACATCTCCTCATAACTAACGCAGTACGCACACCCATCTCCTAAGCACATGTTCTACACTTCCCCCGCTCTGTTGCACACACATCACATATATCACCTGTGGGACCGGACCACAGGGTTGGCACATTGGGTTAGGGCACGGCCGCCTTCCGTCTCGCAAACTCAGTCCAAGCGGTTAGGTCTGGTCGAACCCAGTTTGCTCCGACACTGGTGGCGGCGGACTGTCCCCTGTCGTCCGGCGAGTGCCCCGCTCTGTCCGGGCCCTTTGTCCTCATTCTGGGGACCCTGTCCACCAGTGACACGGCCAGCCGCTGGGGCAGAGATTAGCTCGCTGCCTCCGAGCTCTCAGTACCGCGGCTCAGCTCAGACACAGGTGTGTGCTGCCGCAGCAAGCTCACTTGTGCTGGCTCGCAGCACGGCTGGCTCAGAAGCCCGGGTGTGCCGGTCACGCTGAGCTCAGTAGCGCTGGCTCATGAGCACGAGAGTACCGGTCGCTCTGAGCTCAGTACCGCGGCGTGGTGTTGTAGCCGCGCTGGTCGCGGTACTGGCTGCCGGTCTCGGAGCGCGGTGGCCTCGGCACCGACCGGTGCGAGCGCGGCTCCGAGTACCGGCTGCCCGGCCGAGAGTGCACCATCGCGTAGTGGTCCGAGTTGGTAGTCGACACTGAGCGCGCAGAGTTCATCGTCGACGCGCCGTAGTTGTCGTAGCCGTGGTTCGACTTGCCGTTCAGCGAGTACCTGAAGAAAACGGAGAGAAATTGAGTTAGAAAAATTGGTGACAACAAATGAGGGTTGAAAGACATGTCAGTCTCCAAGGTTTGTGGTAAGACTGGAGGCAAGCAAACAATTAATTATAAAAAATAGGACAGTAAGAATGAAATTACTCTTGAAATCTAATAACTTAGACTTCGGGGCATCTTCGTGAGCGGTTATACCGTACCTATCGTTAAAATGAGGTAGACAGAAACGTAGCGGGTGTTATTCTAGTATTCGAGCGTTGGGGTCACAAGGTGTGTTATTGTCATATGGTGCGTTGCAGTCACCGTGCTTCCAGCAGTGCCATCTTAGCGAGAATTTCGTCTACAAATCACGCGCTATTGCGTGCTGCAAAGTAGTCCCATGCGGAAGAGCTACCACTTGTCTGCAATAACTCATAGAATGCCGGCTGCTTTAAAAATCACGCCACGCCACTCGGCATTCCTGTGGCATAACATTACATTGTTCTCAGCGAGCGAGAATGAAGAATCATGTCACCGGCAAACAAGACAAAGCGACGTCAGCCTTTTTTGATGAGGCGAATTAGTCTGCTCCACCTGCGCAGATTCAACAATGATTCGAGACTGTCTTTGTTCAAATGACGTCAGGGTTTCTCAGTAAAACCTCCGCCGTCGACTGCAGCCCATAGTCAGTCGGCGTCCGTGCCTGTTGGCCACATGTGCCCCCTCCCCGGGGCGAGTGCCGTGCCCACGCCGCCTATCGCCGCGCGCCGGCCCCGACTCGGCAGTGTTCGTGACTGATAACAGCCCCGCCCGCCCTCGACGGCGCCGCCCGCGTCGGCTTCAGACTCAGCTCGACATAAGAAGTCAGAGGTGCGGCCACAGGAATTTTAAGATGAAAACTTTCCGCCACGCAAAGCGCCTCACGGAGCATGCAGCCGAAGGAGATGTGATGATTTTCAGAAGCAGTTAAATCATAAAAAAATTGTTACCGGTTTCTGTAGAACTAGCAATGCCAAATATATCAAAGCACTTGCACTTTGTTCGTTACCCCGCGCCCCACTGGGGGGGGGGCTATTTATAGCCCCCCCTCCCGTTTTTCTGCAATAACTTCCAAACCGCTTGACGGATCGACGCCAAACTTTCAGTACCTTCGGCTGCATCAATTTGACACCTTGTGTCAAAATTTGAACTTCGTAGCTACCATAGGTTGGCCGGAAATGACGTCAGAGTGACGTCATGTTCGCCCGATTTCGACGCAAAACATTGAACCACGGCAATCGCTCCCAAGAGCTCAGTTTTTAAGCTAGATCCAATTTCTTTGCATGAAAGCACTCAGAATTGACCGCGCTATCAAACTGCTATCTCGAATTTTCAAAATTATGAAAATTTTGAAAATTTTATATAATAATATTCAAAATTTATATTTTTATATTTTTTTCAAAAAGTTTTTGTTTTTTCGAAAAAACCGGAATATATGTGACAGAACGCATGATTATGACTAACTCTAGCAAGTTTTAGCTAAATATCTTCAAAAATGGCCAAGTTATACGCATTATTGCAAAAAATTCACAATTATTAATTTTTCAAATCAATTTTTCAGTACGTATTTGACATCGTACACCAATATAAATGGCACCATCGTGTTCCTGAGCTCAAACTGCATCCAATGGACACCTTTTTTGTTGAAAAATTTCAACTTCAAAATTTGACCTTTTTTGACCTGAAAGTGACCTGACCTAAGCTAAATTCGACTCAAAATGACCTCGAATGACACAGACGACATCAAATTCGAAATCTATGGCCTAAATGGACCATAAAACATGTGTCACGTGACCGACGCATGATAAAATATTTTCGTGACCTGTGATGACCTGACCTTGACCTGAAAATCAAAGTAAAAGTTTGGTACCCTCAGAGTATCTAGAGCATCTGTTCAAGAGTGTGTGTACCAAAAATGAGCCTGATCTGACTTGTAAGACGGCGGCCAGAGCCCAAAATGTGAACAAACCAAAATGCTAATAATTTTTACTTTGACCTGACCTGTGACGTCATCGGTGACCTCGAGGTCAATGAAATTAGGTTTCGCTCGACAGTTTTTCCGGGGCTATCAGACGCCGTTTGAATTTTGACGATCGGCCCAGTAGTTTCGGAGTTAGGAGGGGGGGCTATGAATAGCCCCCCCCCCCCCCAGTAGGGCGTGTTATACACAGACCCCAGTGGGGCGCGGGTTACGTAAAAGAGTCGATCACTCGAAATTCGAGCCCAGGCCGGGATGTGTATTGTGTTGCAGCCTGCAGGTATACTCACTGCGATCCGTGCCAGCTGCGGTAAGGGTCGTAGTCCTCGAGGCTCGGGTCCTTCTCCACCACCTCCGTCTTGGTGCACGAGCACGTCATGGCCGTGCACAGGAAGCAGTTGATGATCATCATGATGAGAAAGAGCAGGCCGAACGCGATGCACAGGTAGAGCAGCCACTCGGGGTGGTAGCCGTCACAGTCGGTCAGCGGCTCCAGACCTGCCGAGAGGTGCAGCGTGACTGGACGGATTGCAGAGAACTGGTAAATATGCAGAACACTCTAACATGCTGTATCCGTGTATCCTGATCTAAGCTTTTCCTGCCTTCAATTTTCGTTGCCGAGTCAAGACATACACGAATGCAGGACAAGACAAATGAAATAAATGTCTTGCGGCTGTCCGTTGGTAAACTATTAGACACTGCACTGAGCTACAGACTACAGTGACAGCATGTGGCAATAGTGTGACCGTCATATAACAGTCATGAGGCTGTCATGCGAATACCGCTGAGTAGCTGACATAAGCCGCCAGAATCCGGTCGCTGTCACCGGATCAGTCAGATTAGAGGCATGAATCGTGGCTGGTGATAGCAGCGATGTTTGTGGAAACAGAAGTTGAAGCCACATTACATAGGCAACAAAGAGACGTACTTTTATTGCATTGCTTTATTGAGTGTGTATTACAAAACTAATGGGCTAACAGTTTTACACCGTTACTTAACCCTATTCCTGGCGGGCTCCGCCGGGACAAGAAACTGGCGGGGGGGGGGGCGATTCGGCCCCCCCCCCTGAGATCTCGAGAACGAAGCAAGATAGCGACAAGCGGTAAACGGCATCGGTTACGCATGGACAAGGTCTACAATTTTTACTAAGGTCATTTTCAGGTCAGGTCAAAGATGACGTCACAGGGGTCGAAAAAGTCAAAATGGCGGCGCTAGATATGGAGAGAGTTTTTCTCGAATAACTTTCGAATTAGTCAAGGTAGGAACAAACGAAGGGCATCATCGTGATCCTCTCGTCAATCCGCATCGAATGATATATATGTTGACCTCGAAAGGTCAAGGTCAAAGGTTGACCTCAGGTCACGTGACCTCGAGGTCATCATGTATATCATTCGATGCGTCTTGACGAGCTGAACACAATGAGACCATCCACGCGTCTGTATCTTGTTCCTGTACGGAGTTATTGGCCAAAAACCTTTGGTGACCTTTGATGACGTCACATGACCTCACAGCTGCCCAACAGCAAAACAGACCTCAAGGTAGTGAAGGTTGATCGTATATGAAGTCATGTATGGTATATGGGGCCATTCAGACCCGTTTTAGTGGTAAAAACAGGGAGTTGATTTTTCCCCCATTGACTTATAATGGGGAGGTCGCGAAACTGACCTGACCTTAGGTCACCGATATCAAAATTCCGAGATATACAAATTGCACATACTGGTACCCTAACTAAAGCCTGAAGAGAAGAAATTGATCGGTCAAAAACTCTAGCTCTGGCGTGATTGCAAACTTTTCTGAGGTAGGGTCACCAAACCGCCTCTGGTGACCTGACCTGAGGTCAGATCAACTCAAAATTTTCAGACATGTTGCGTAGAAGCCTTTTAGGAAAAGTCAGAAAATTTGAGCTTCCTAGCTCAACGCGTTTGGGATAAATAACCAAAAAACCTCAGGGGGGGGGGTGGGCTCCTGAGGCCCCCCCGCCAGGAATAGGGTTAAAACTGAGCCCGTTTTCCAGGAGGCAGCCGCTTTATAAATTGAACTGTAGTCATAGCCTGTATCGCTGGAGAGACAGTTAACACTCATATCAGAGTTTCTTGGTGGAGACTTGAGCAATATCTTTTCAAGGGCGACATGATTTAACCACCAGCACGACAGTTTCCCGTCACACCTTAGTCAGCAGCTCGCGCAATACCGAGGCTTGTCATGCAGGAAATTAAGACATACGTCTCCAGCAAGTGTTGGAACATTCCACTGTCGGGACCCGATACAGGGGATTGCGATGGTATGAGAGCAGCACTGGGCAGTGGTGTGTGTGCCGTGTCATGCATGTGGTCGTAATTGACATTGTGAGATGCTTATCGCGTGATGCCAGCCAGAAGGCTGTATCATTTTCGGACTTCAATCTCAAGTAGGTACAGTGAGAACGAGTAGTTATGATGACAACGTTATCATATCAAACATAGTTTCTTGTAAATTTGTTTATTGCTATTGCTATGGAAAAAAATACCAATTTGAGTACCTATTATCATAAACAAATGTAACAGAGGTAACAAATCAAAAGGAGAAAATGAAAGGAAAAGAGTAGGATAAAACCAGATTCACAGCTCGGAAGACTCCCCGATAATTTTAACGGATACAACAAGCTCTCTGTGAGATTGCCTATAATGCCCATGCCAGGTGCATGGGTCATCCCTTCTTACGGACAGTTAGGTATACCGCCTGCACATAAATATGCTCTTTGGACAGCACCTTCGGTCGATGGCTCAGAGAGATAGCGGTTCACTCGAAATGACGTCATGTTGCTCGTGCAACGGACCGTGACCAACTCATGCAGGTGCCGCCGCTGGCATCGGCTTTCGGCGGCGAATTGTAGGCAGCAGCGCATAAAAGACAAGGAGCGACATTGCCGTATGTTCAAGGCATGGTCTATCGCGGCAAGGGGCTGGTATTTTGGCCAGGTACATATAAGTCGCTATTGCTGACTTGTGATGTTGCGATCTACGATGGTAAGCATTGATATGAGAGTGAGACAAAGGACATATGCATAACAAATTTTTCTATAAGGTAAGTGATGATGATTATTCTTAAGTGGCACGATCGGAAGCTTTGGGCACAAAGTGATTTGAATATTTTTTTACGAGGGATGGGATAGGATAAATTTAGCGGTAAAACCTCTGTCACTAAATATACAGCGGCCTTGATAGGGAATTCAGCTATTGGTACCCTCATAAATGCTGAATAAACTGTCCCATAGACGATTTTGTTTTTGCTCGTGCTGGTAAATGTAGTCTGTCACCTAACGCTGTTTTTATCGGATGCAATGGTAAGAGTTTCGAAAAATGTCAAATTTGCTGTCATTGCGATAGCTGTGAGTTTGCAATAGTTAGATATCGACACGACAATGGGAAATTGGTGTCTGTTACGGAAGACCATGACCGGTCGTTTCGCCAGCTGTCACCGTGCAACCTCTGGCCACCACCGAGTCCCCTGAGAAACCCAAACCGCGCCGCGGCCACCGGCAGTTTGGCTGCGGCTCCCAGTGGGGCGTCGCCCGCGACAGTGACGGTGACCGCGGCGGCAGTGGCGAAAGTGCCGACCGCCGGGGAAACTTTCCTCGATATCCACACGGCCGCTCACGACCACAACCCGCCACTGGGAGGTGGTCATTTTCCCGTGCACGAACCGCGGTGGGCGGTGGCTGGCGACTTGTGATGCCAGCCCCACCCGCAGTCAATAGCGAGTCTGCCGAACAACACCGCCAACGCCGCCACCATCGCCGCACTCTGGTGAAAGTGTCACCCCTCCTGCCGAGAGCGTGACGCCCGATTGAATGCATACCGTGGGTGGGGCGATGATACTCACTGACTGTTTCGCCGGGCTCGACGACAAAGACGGACGTCGAGGCCATCAGGTGGGCGTTGGCGTTCTCATCGGCGTCGACCAGCGCGCTGGGTTTGATGGTGCTGGGGTCGTCTCCGCGGCATACGGTCGCCGGACACTCGCCTGCGGGGAGATAGGGGGTCAGGTTCAGACCGTACTCGCAGGTATCCAGCTCAAGGAGGAGAAGGGAGCCGAAAAGAGTCAAGCACAATGCATGGGAAGTCAGATAAAAGCCATGAGACAGATGAAAAGAGAGAGAGAGAGAGAGAGAGAGAGAGAGAGAGAGAGAGAGGGGAGAGAGAGAGAGGGATTATGTGATGGCGTTATACAATATGCAGAGGCCATATATGGAGATGGAAATGTAACATCAATGTACATACAGAGAAGGATCAAGCACAATAAAAGATAAATAAATATGGACCATCAAAGCGTGGCTTCATGCTACAAATCTACTCTTCCATTAACGATTTAGTAATTACCTTGATAATTACTGCCAGCGCCATGACTCGAGAGGCATTTACAGTCTGTACGGTACGGCAATAAAACATGGTGAGATTTCCAATCAATAATTGGGGTCCATCCCATCCGTTGCAGTCACGATAGCGCTGAGCCCGCCATCCCCGAGAGTTGCAAAACACGTCGTTTTTGTCTCCGTGACGGCGAGGAGATTCACCGATGCATCACGGCTCGATAGGAGCACGCACGTGACTCACGACGGGTCAGGGATGTCGAGACGCGCCATGGCCAAATTGCCTAGGGCTTCCTAGTACCTACTTGTCGAGCTGAACACAATTATTTTGTGATGTCCCGTGGTTGAGGTAATATTTTCGGAACCCCAAAAGTTTCCCGAGGGACGATTAAATATGGAAGTGTGAAGTAACTGGTCTGATCTCGATATATTTAATCTTTCGGTGAAACTTGTTTTAGTATAATGCTTGTCATCTTCATTCTTGTTGCTCGACTTTTTTCGACAATCGTGTATGGTCAGCAAAAACGCTGCTACTTTAGCCCATATGGGATCTGACTGCAATTACCATCTCATCTGGAATGACCTTTGTTTCACCCACTACATTCTAGCAGAGATGCGCCGGGGAGTGGAGAGGTGTGATCGAGCTGTCCTCTGTGCACAGCTGGGTGCGCGGCGACCCTGATGTCAAGGCAGGGTCGTGGTGTCGCTGCTGATTGTTTGACGATGGTTGCCGCTGCAGTGGCGAGAGCCTGCTGCTGGGCCGCTGGGCCCGGCTGCTGCGCAGTCGGACACAATCTGTTCCACCCATCTGCCGCCGTCGGACTCCGCCCGGCTCGAACGGAAATGACTGACAAAATAGATCAGCCCGGCCAGATAACGAGCGGTGAATGACAATGGCCTGCTCAACCGAGCCTGCACTCCGCAGCACAACTGTTCTCCGAATCGAGTGGATCAGCGAGGCAGAAAGGCAGCCAGAGAACAAAACACCGGAGGGCCATCTAGTCCCTCTCGTCCAGAAGTCAAGCGCGATCTACCGTTCTGGCTGCTCAGTAGTCGGAGATGACTTGCACCACCGTCCCTGTTTAAACTGCGCTCGGTCGGGCCGTTGACGGCGACAGATGCCGTTCGTCATCCCCAGCTCTGGCTGAGGAGGCGGGCCGGCCGGCCGGGGGCGGCGCCGCTGCTGCCGGGGTCGACACTCGCAGGTCACCGCCAGCCCGTGTGGGCGGCCCGGCCGGCCGGCGGGCCCCGCCCAGACGCCGACGATAGGATCAGACGCTGCCGGCGGCACGGACGGCGCACCTGGGACGAACGTGCTCCGAGTTGATCCCAACTGATGGCTGCTCTCTGCTCGTAACGTGTCAGTCCGAACAACAAAAGACGGCCAGTCTGGCGCAGGAAGGCGAGACAAAGCCGATTTGGCCGAGGCGGCAGTCAAAATACCGGGCCGGCCGGTGCTGGCGCGTGGCGAGGTGTGCCGACACGGCACGCTGGCTTTACATCTACCTTTGTAAAGACACTATCAACCGGCAAACACGCTGCTGCTCGGTGTCAACCCGCGTAAGACTGAGAGATTACTGATTCGGACAGCAGATGCGTTTTCAAGTGCTAGAGTGCCGACATGTTCTATTCTGGTGGTGATGCGCTGAAGTGGATGTACATAAATCGAGCAGCAGGCAACCTAAGACGTTATTCCAAGTATCTAATGGGTGTGTGGCATCACATTACCTACACCATGGCTTCAAGCATCAATACCTTTGCTAGTTAGTCACTGAATATGCATCCATAACTAATTTCACACATTCGTTACCGTATTTCTACCAAATTCTGATTTCACATCGTCACAGATTCTTGTTATAGTAGCGTTAACATGTCAGCTGGGTCGAATGACGTCATCCCACGTCAGATGTCCAAGAATGCCGGTTCGAGTCAGCTCTCTGTGACGTCACGGCCCTAGCTCGGTAGCTCGGCGATCTCCAGAGGGTACAGATGAGTCACTGTGCCGGGAAGGCTGGGAGCTGGGGGCTGTGGTCGGTGGGGCGGGGCGAGAGGGGCGGGGTGGGAGTGCCGGCGTCCGACGTCGGGAAACCTGACCCGACACGGGCCGGCTCGGTGCCTCGGTGGTGCGGTTTTCCTGTTGGTCGGCCGTCGGTGGATGCTCGCGGGCCGAGTTGCTGTGGGGAGGAGCCGCTGGGAGCCGCTGCACAGAGATGCCCTTGGGGAGGGGCGGCTCTGAGGGAGCTGCCTCTGGCTGCTCTGGGGAGCACCTGCAGCGGAGGGCGGCGGGCAGACGGCCGGTGCAGTCCACCCCTTATCGCCTCCTGCTGCAGCGCCCGGCGGCCCGCCCGCCCGATAGCTCCGATAGCAGAGTAGCGGGGTCCGGCCGGCTCCCGGACCGACCCGGTCTGGGCGGCGGCTCGCGGAGTTTTCCGGGTTCGGCCCTACATACCCTGGCGATCGGCCCGATCGGTGACAAGGTCAGGTCAAGGCTGTGCGGCTCGGGCCGGAGATTACACACAACCCGTTCTCTGTTCTGCTTCGAAGGCGTGTTGACTGCGACTGAGGCGTCAACCCAGTATACGTCTTTAATTTCGTTCATTTAAATAGTGAGTAGGCGAAGTGCCCTTCAGGCGCCCACCAGTATTCAGTTCCATCATCCCTGAGCACGGAAGGAGAGACACACCTCAGCTAACCGGCACTCCCTGTGGGGCTACTGGACTGTGGCATCATTCAAGCTGGAAATAATACGGATACGAAGACGGCACCTTATCAAATAAGACGGTGATGATGAGGATCCGACGAGGTCTTCTGTGATGATCATGAGTCACCCGGAAAGAACATCGACATTTACTAAACAGTAGATCAATCTCACCATTGGCAATTCTTAACCCGCGCACCGACGGGGGTCTGCGCCAACTTCGCACCGACGGGGGGGGGGGCGGATGACCGCCCCCCCCCTGAGATCTCGAGAACGAAGCAAGATAGCGACAAGCGGTAAACGGCATCGGATACGCACGGCCAAGATCTACAATTTTTACAAAGGTCATTTTCAGGTCAGGTCAAAGATGACGTCACAGGGGTCGAAAAAGTCAAAATGGCGGCGCTAGATATGGAGAGAGTTTTTCTCGAATAACTTTCGAATTAGTCAAGATAGGAACAAACTAAGGGAATCATCGTGATCCTCTCGTCAATCTGCATCGAATGATATATATGTTGACCTCGAAAGGTCAAGGTCAAAGGTTGACCTCAGGTCACGTGACCTCGAGGTCATCATGTATATCATTCGATGCGTCTTGACGAGCTGAACACAATGAGACCATCCACGCGTCTGTATCTTGTTCCTGTGCGGAGTTATTGGCCAAAAACCTTTGGTGACCTTTGATGACGTCACATGACCTCACAGCTGCCCAACAGCAAAACAGACCTCAAGGTAGTGAAGGTTGATCGTATATGAAGTCATGTATGGTATATGGGGCCATTCCGACCCGTTTTAGTGGTAAAAACAGGGAGTTGATTTTTCTCCCATTGACTTATAATGGGGAGGTCGCGAAATTGACCTGACCTTAGGTCACCGATATCAAAATTCCGAGATATACAAATTGTAGCTACTAATGACCTAATCATATCCTGCGACTTTCAAAGTCGCAGTTCAATCTACTGTAGCTCTGGCACGGTGACAAAGTTGCAAAAAAGTGACTTGAGGTTGGGTCATTCAAAGTGACCTGGTGACCTGACCTTAAAAGGTAGGAGGTGCAAACTTGCACACCATGTGTAAAATTGATGAGGTTATAGTCATACCAAATTTCGCGGCGCTACGCGCCGCGGTTTTCCCGCTATTCGCGAAAAACCTCAGGGGGGGGGGGGGGGGCGGATATCCGCCCCCCCCGTCGGTGCGCGGGTTAAGTGATAGCATGACTCCTCCGTTGCTCAGCCCCCTTCCCGGTTCCCCGGGTCAGCTCTGTGTCACCACTTACCCTTGCAGATGACCACGTCGCACTGGAAGTTGACCTGGTTGGTGTCAGGGAACCGGTACATGGAGGCGATTGTCGCGTCTGCAGTGCCAGTCGTCTTGTTGTAGGCGAACTTTGTGATGACGCCCTGTCGCTCCGGACATCTGCAGGGGCAGGCCACAATATAGGTCAGGTCACGATATGACACCTCCGATTTGTTCAGCTTAAAGGGACCCTCCCACCTTCAAAAAGTTTATGAATTGGCATGAAAGTGATGTCGCTCGGTTCAGAAAGAGCGAAAACGAATATCTACCAAATTTCACCGAAAAATATTCACCGGTTTTCAAGATATTAGACTTTTACTTTTGTTTACTTTTTGGGATCTCCGCTGTTTCTAGCGACTTTATTTTAGAAGTGCGGCGTTTGCGGCAGATGTTGCGCGCAAATAGCATATACTACCGCGTGCTACAAAACGTTTTAGTCAAACATTTAAAAATCGTTAGATATCTGCGCTGACGTCACACATTCAGAGGGGTATTCCTAAGCATTAGCCCCTCTGAATCAAAATGCTGCAATTTTGAAATTCAATATTTCCGATTTTAGGCATTTCTCGATGTTGTGAGTGCCGAAACCGGTAATTGTGAGCCAGGGACCCCATTTTGGCTATCTCAACTCAAATCTAATGTTAAGGTGGGAGGGTCCCTTTAAGTCAGGCTGGGTCATGTTGGGTCAGATCGACTTTGTTTGGGTCAGGCGGGTCAGGTAAACTTGCGGCGATTCAATTAATGATATAACATAGCAGCTCAGTCTTTCCTTGATTCTTTGAAATGGAACTAAGTGCTATGTCAGATATAGCATCCATATCTGACTAATGCACTTGTTGACCGTACGAAAACAATGCATATTACATAGATAAGTAAATGCTGTAATTATGAAAGTCTCTGCTCCGATGACCTTGCTGATGTGCTGGTAATACACAGCCAAAAGTGACGGCGCAACTGAACCGATCTAGGACACGCTGCCGCCCCATGGGGCTTATCATGTCAGCCGTGCAATGATACATGATGTCCCGCTTTCGTCACCAGCGGCCGTGGCACCGCGTGTCAACCGGACCACATAGGCGCGAGGCGCGAAGGAGCTCAGAGCTGGTTTTGGCAAGATTACTGGGTTTTGGTGCCCGATAATTATTTGTTTGACATGATAAAACACAAGTGTCCCTTATTCAATTTCAATCGCGTCCTTTATTAACTCTTATTAAATCCCGAGTTCCAGCGTGAGCTACTCTAGCGCCGATCGAGGTTACGTCGATCCACCGTTGTGTTTTATTGTTCTGTCTCTGTTGTGAGTAAATTAAGCCAGTCGAGAACTGGGCGCCGAGCCCCTTATAAAACTGTACACTTTTTTCCTTTCCTACCGAGACGGTGGCCCCCTATCGGGTCCGACTTTTTCCTGCAGTCTTCGGTGGGCCGTTGGAGGCACCGTTCGACAGAGCTGGTCACGTCCGTTAGTTGGAGGTGGCGGTGGACCGACAGCGGACCGGCTCACAAAAACTGACCGAGCGACGCACGCGGACAGACCGCCGAGCCGCCGCTCTGCCCCGCCGGCCGGTCACCTGCCGCGCTGCAACCGGCGCACCCACTGCTCTGCATCGCTCCAGCCGCGCACTCGAACACTCTACCCAGCACCTGCATGGTCCGCCCACGTCCAACAGACGGACACTGCGTTCAAACGACCGGTCGTTAACATACTTACAGTCTGCGTTTGAGAACCGACGCACTCCATAGTTTCAACAATAACCTGATTTAGTTTTTTTCCAAGCATTCCGATATTGACGTCATTGTCTACTGTATATATGTATGTATGTATGTATTGACGATCAAGAGCAATCCACAATCGGCGTGGCGATTACACTCCGAGTTCGATACTGGTATTGCATGAGAGACACATTGAAGCTGGCCCGGTTTCCTGGCACGAGGACTTTTTAGGGATCGCGTGTCTCGGCTGGCCTGACTCGCGGTGCCGGCCCCAGATGACTGAGCCTACCGTGCAGCCCCCGCCTGCCGTCTGACAGAGGTGTTACGACACAGATTGGAAGACAAGGCCGGTCTGTGTCGAGGATGCCGTCACCCACTCCTGTCTCGCTCCCCTGTCACCTTACTTCACCCTCACAGTGTTATCGTGAACATTCCGTGTCAGACCGCTGAGCCGAGCCGCCTTCTAAAAAGCCAGGGTTTACAATTTACTGGCCGTAGCCATGCACTGAAAGAAAAAATGACACCCTGTACGGGGTATTGACGGTCATGTCAAAAATAACACCCGAGTGGGGTGTTTTGAGGGGAGTCGCTGAGCTATTATAAATGGGGTGTTTGGCGTACACCCCAGGAGGGTTTCGACGCATAGTGGGGAGTCGCAGCCGCTAAAGGGGGGTCAGCGCCGGCCCACATGGGGTTCCGTTAGACTGCAGGTGACACCCCTCAAATATCAGCCGAGCACCCCTTTTTGGTCCCTAAGCACCCGACAGGGTGTCAAACTCCCAAATTAGGGTGTAAAATATAGCAGCTCAACTCCCCTATTTTTCTGATATAACTCCCCATTTTGTTCCTGACCCTCACGCGGGGAACCGCGCGCCTTCAGCAGGGAATCTCTCAGAGAAGTTTCACTCCCCTATACTTCCGAAAAACTCCCGGCGAGGATTAAATGTCCTTCGGAACGAGAATCTCAGACTATATTTATAACCGGGTGAGGAGTTACTCTTTCCGTTCGCGGCCTTGCGGCGCCCTGTAGTGTGCACGACCAACGTATGACACGGTAATCAGTCTAGATATCATCATGATATAGTTGGCCACTCTACGCTATGCACGCTTTTGCCTTAGCTCCAAACATGCACCAGCCATTCGTGAAAAACAGGTCCCGATTTTACCAACTTTAGTTTGCGCCATCTATCGGTAGGATTTGAAGCTGAAAACACGGGGTGTCACTCCAGGATAATGACACCCCAGAGGGGTTTCAACGGGGGTGTCTCAGCGACACTCCAATTTTTTGGCCTGCAATTTTTGGGGAGTTCGCTAGCCGAACCTCTCCCAAGGGGGTCATGTACATTTTTGCGGCGTCAAAAGGTAATGGGGCTCCCGTGTCGGGTGTCACAACACCCATGACATCCTAAAATCATGAAAACGGAGCCTAATTTAGGAGTATTTTGGAGTATGTGGTGTCAGATTGTAAGAAATGGGGTTCCCCGATTTTTTTCAGTGTGTTCCTTGCATTTTACGACAAAGTTGAACAAATAAACTCACACATGTGTAGCTATAAACTTATTTTTATCTGTGGTGTTTTGCTTGAAATGGTTCCCGAGTGAAACTTACATAAGCCAAAGGTTTGACCTTTATAGTTAGGTATGTCTTTATTGGATCAGTTTATCTAAATACAGATAAATTTTCCGCCGTTCAATGTTTATACCATTTCCCATTTATCTAAAGGGGAATTTTACTGCTCAGTGTTTCGATTTTTCATTTTACTTACCCTTGTTCGTTGATCAGATCGACTCGGCTTTCCTCGGTACTGAAGCTGAAGCAGTTCTTCACGCCGACGTCGTATGATTCTGAAACAGACAGAGGTAACTTAGTTCGAACGTTCATAATATACTCACAAACGGCGCTTGTGTAATGCATATTGCATATCAGCCCCAGTGTCAGACGCTCCGGTCAACCGGTTGGATGTCTGCCAACGAACGATTGCCCCAGGGCAGGGTCACGTGACGGTGCCGCGGTCTCGTGATCAAGTAGGAGCCAAGGGACAGAAACAGTTGGTTGGTTGTTGCCAAGGCGGAGGGCGGGGGTGGAGCAAACAGACATTCGGTTTGAAGGTGGAAGACCTGTTGATCGATTTATGAGACTTGTCGAGATTGTGGTACTTTGATGGAATCCTACCAAAACCGGTTGGTGTTAAGAGGACTCTTAAACGGAAGTGGTTGGCACTGCCTGGTGCTCATAACCTTGACAATGACCGCAAGGGCTGCAGTGCCACTTGTCATCTTTAATGAAGTTCAGCATACCTACCACAGTCTGTTCAACTGACAGGTAAGTCAGCTTTATCATTATCACTGACAAAGTTGAGTGGTGTTGAATATTTATCCATTATTGGTGCGCAAAGGCTGTCTCGCAATTTAAACGTCAGAGCGGCAGACTTTATCGGGTACTGTCGATACCACATAACGGTCACTGTGGTATAGGAAAAAATTGCTCGCGTGGTCTGCTGATTAAGGAAATCCTGCATATCCCACACTCACGCTTTAGGAATGGTTTCCCCTGGCAACATCGCCGCAGATTATACTGCCGGATCACAGCGATATTGGAAACACGCAACGTGTGCAACAACCCACTGCGGACGGTATACAGAGGCTGGTGGAGCATGAGCGCTTCAACAAAGTCTTTCACCACGTCCTTGGAAGTGGAAAGGCAGGATAAAGCTGTTCCCACTGAAGTTCCACATTGGCACAATATCGTAGTGAAACAATGACAATGGTCTTATCGTCCTATTGTGGATTTCAGTACCATCCTGTACAATTTCCGGAATAATATCTCACCAGAAGAAGGGAAAACAGGTCAATGAAAAATCTTAGAATTGGAATCCAGGTGGGGCAGTCAAGGCAAGGGCATGTCCTCTTCTTTTCGGGAGGGAAGGTCCAGTGAACCAGTGCACTTCAAAGTGTATGTATTTGTGTTCAGCGCAGTGCATTCTTCAATGTGGATTAGGTGATACTTATGTCTGCCAGTGCCACTTTCAAACAAGCCACCCTCGCGTTTAACGTATGAACGGTTTATCACTACCCTTGTCATCATATCTTATCCCGGTAGGACCAGTAAAAAAGTTCACAGGGGCCGACTCGGCATCTCCAATTAGTTGTAAATCTCGCATTCGTTCCTCCCAGTGCCGGTCAGCGCAAAAACGTGTCTCTGTCACCGTTTGTCTGAGAGTAGAGTCGCGGAGAGGCATTTCCCGGGCTGGTCCGCGGGTAGTGTCGGGGTGGGTTCCTGGGAAGGAGGCGAGGAGGTGCAGGGACCGCACCTGCACTACATTAGGTGGCCACTGCGTCGACCACTGCCACTTTTGGGCTACTTCACAGAAAATGATCAACGACTTCCTAGTTCCTGTACGCTGGTTGGTGCAGGAAGCATGAAGACCACTGTTTGACCGTGAAGTCGAGGTCTGGCTTGTGGCCAGATTTATGCCGCAAAATTGCACGGCCAGTTGTACAACACACTTTCATGGGCCTCCTTGCTCATTGCACCTTCAGCCAGTGAAAATCTCCCGTCTTTATAATCACTTCTATGGAGCTAAGACGCCAGAGAACACCTAAGGTAACCGGTCTGTGGTTGCGGTTCGCTATGGGCACTGGTGGCCTTTCCGGCCGGACGGGGTCTCCTGCTCAGCTCCGTCAGAGGCGCCGGCTCGCCGCTCACGAGCGGTGCCAGAATCCGGCGTGACTGCCGTCTCTCGGGAACAAAGACTGGTGCGCCCTCCCTCTGGCAGCCTCCCCCGCCTTACATGCGACGGACAAGGTCACAGCGGCACGGCCGTCAGCCCGGCACTGCCAGTGGGCAGAGTGCCGCCGTCCGCCCGTCTGTCACGGCAGCTCCTAAACGGGCCCGTCTGGCGAGCCGCCAGAAGGATAGCCCGGCCCCGACCGGCCCGCTGAAAGTAACATATCAACTGCTTTAGTTGCAGAAACTGAACTCACTTTCTAGCCCGCAACAGTTGACAAAGAGTCGCCAGACCGGCGGTGCTCTATGCTGTGACATTTTTCGGTCCGCTGGCATCATGGGAGCTTGCTCCCCAAGCCGGTATATTTAAGTCGCCCAGCTGATGTCAGAGCTCTGTACCAATCGCCATTCCTCTCTCCCGTTCCCGCTGGACCACGTTGGCTAACAAGGTCACTGGATAATGGACGGTCGGTGCACCGGCCGGGGCGTGAGTGAGCGTCCGCGAGCCTACTACCGCCCCTGGCGACTCGACCCAGCTCAGCCGGGGAAGACCTAAGCAAGAATCACTGCATCAGACCCACGACTTTCATCCCCACTGCTCGTACCCCTTGCTACCGCTGCAGGATGACACCCAGCTGCAGCATCCCACCAGGGCCGACGGTGGCGTCACTTTCGCTTTTCGGCAGCGGGCCCGCACCGGCCGTCGTCATCGCGCTGCGAGCCAGCTCGGTGAAAGTGCGTCGTCGGCGGCGGCGCCGGGCGACGCAGGACCCGCTCGCTGCCGGCCGAGGATGGCGGCACGCCGGCAGCTGCGGAGAAAGTGACCTCCAGGGCGGCGCTGCTCTTGACCCGGCTGGAGCGGCGCCGGCTGCCCCCGTCTCCGCCCGCGCCCCACGCACCCAGCGCCGACCACGCATGCTCGTTACGTGCGGCGCAGACCAGCTGAGAGGTACGGACGGAGCCTGCTCAGCCCAGGCGGCGGCACTGCCGGCTCTGTGCAGGAATCCTGGCCAATTCCGTCCAGTGCACAGCGTCACCCGGGGGAATTCTGACGGCTGCGACGGCACGACTCGAGTAGAGGTGGTGCAACACATGGGAGAGTTCCCACAGGTGGCGGAAGGGAGCGGAAGGGGAGCGGAAGGGAACTACCTGTCGTTTGACAAGAAGCCGACGTGGAACCTGACCGCCATCTACTCTACGGGCTATGCCTTACTTCGCCAATAAAAGAGAAAGCAATCACTTGCTGAATCTTTGAGGAGTGTAGAGCGACGTAAATCACGAACAAATACATAGTCACTCATACCTTTAATAAAAGCGGTCGAGGCGTTTGTTTTCAAAAATGCTTCATGAGGCATGGATGCCATTTATGCATAAATGCCGTTTTACAACATCTATATGCTGATAAGCTGTATAACGTGCATACTGAATGAATCAAATATAGCTTGGATTTACTTCAACCTCTCTCGTAAGCAATCAAAACATCCTCATATATTTCTTTCGTGGAAGTTCATGAGCATGAAATATGTCGGACTGAAGCAAGACTCACAAGTGTATGGTGACTGGTGAGTTCTCACCTCTTGTTCAGGGAACGACCCACAGTTGCGAAATCTTACCTTATAAGGATGGTAAGGTAAGGGTAGTACCCAAGAGACGTAGGGAGGGGTAGAGGAGGGACCATACCAGGCCCGCATGTGAACGGGACTATTGAACGATAAAGTCGCAATGCCTGGCTGTGGCCTGTGACGGCTGATCGTTCAGTGTCGTGCGGCGATATTCTGCGGCGATATTCAGTGGTGATATTCAGCGGCGATTCTCCGCGGCGATCGACAGCAGAGTGAAGCGCAGCGCGGCGTAATCAGCGCTCCGTCAGACTGATGGCCCGCTCCGATGGCGGTCGCGAGAGGACCGCCCGGCCAGCAGGCGATGGCTCCATTCGTGCAGAAGACCGATAATGGTCAGAGAGACCGCCCGAGCCGCCGATACGGCCGGCCGATGTGTCAGGGCCACTGACCGCGCCGGCATACACACAGAGAGTCAACACCGAGAGACGAGCGGGAGAAAACAGCCGCGCCACGGCGGATCTCGTGATGCCCGGATAAACATCAGATTCCGTCGGTGGGAAAGGAACGGATGGGGTGGAGTTATCTATGAAGAAAATACGACGCTGATGGGATCAGTTGAAGTTGGATTTTGTATTTGTTGCTGATGTGACGTTTCTCTATATTGAAAAGCTGGTTAGGGGAGAGTGGGGTAATTTGGCCGGTGGTGTAAATTGGCCGCCCCCACCTGTACGATGTCTAATAAAAGTGAGTGAAATAACTCTAGTCTCTATTCATTTGTCATGGGTAGAAATAACTGGAGGACAAATGTCAAAACTTTGCCCCTCGTAGTTGTATTCAAAATTAATAAAACGTTAATTTCATTAGAAAATGGTAACTTTTACTTCTACTTACAAAGTTGTATAACATGTAGTATTTGGGCTAAAAACGAATTCAGACATTATAGCGCCATTCTTGGGGGTGTTCAGCGGTTCCAAGAGCAATTTCATCTAATTCCGTATAGCCGTGATGACTTTATACACAAAAATTTTCAGAATGGCAATATGGGGTAATTTGGCCGGGACTAGCGGGGCAACTTGGCCGGTGCGCTCATGGTCACTATGCTGGGACGGCCGAGTTTTCATGGTCAATTGTACCATAAATGACATGATTCATGACCAACTTTGACTACTTTGATGACTTACTTCCGATTGGTCAACTGTAAGAGCATGTGACGTCATCAAAGGTTACCAAACGTTTTTTGCTAATAAATCCTTACATAAAAATGGTACAGCCGCACAAATGGTCTCATTCTGTTCAACTCGCCAAGGCGCATCGAATAATATGCATGATGACCTTGAAATCACGTGACCTTGAGGTCAAGCGATCTGAGGTAACGTGACTTGAGGTCAACCTTTGACCTTGACTTCTCGAGGTCAACACATATATGTTTCGATGCGGAATGACGAGGGAATTACGATGGTACTCGAAGTTTTGGCCTAGCTTGATTACTTCAAAAGTTATTCGTAAAAAACTGTCTACGCATCTAGAGCCGCTAATTTGGCTATTTTGACCCCTGTGACCCCATGAGTCAACCTCCAAAATGTGGTAAATGCGTCATAGGACACACGTCATTGCTGAATCTGAAGCTGACTCGCAATATAACAGAAAATCCCGACCGTAAACTAACACCGGCCAAATTGCCCCACACCCCCGGCCAAATAACCCTGCTAGTGGGGCAATTTGGCCGCCTTGCAGACCTTTGTAATACGTCACAATTTCAATATAAGTAATTACTCTATCATTTCAAGTTCACTGTCCAGTAAAGTAAAATGAATGCGACACCTGCCAGCGTTGAGAAAATGCAGAAATGTGTCGTCAATTTTAAGTTACATCGTTTTCTAAAAAAAGCGGCCAAATTACCCCACTCTCCCCTACGTGACGTGAAACGAAGACTTGTTGAATGTATTGCGTTTACTATGCAAATACTATCAGCACCCTGAGGCCGTATGTTGTTTCCTTCCACCCTTTGGATATCGACTGAAACTTCTATTCCTTCGGACAGCTACGGAATCAGCTGTATCCCCGGAATAGCGTCACAGCTCCTGAAGCCGGTTTAGCCCGCGCTACTGCGCAGGCCATGGGCGTCCAAAGGTCGCTCAATCGCCGCCCATAACGCCCAGCTGTGGGGCACGTAACTCGGAAGTCGCACATTCTCGTCTGCTCGCCAGCGCTACGTTCCCAGACTGTGTACGATGCTGGCCCGCTGACCTCTGGGTGGTCTTACGGGGCACCGCTGCGGGCCGCTCGGACTGGCTAGCCCGCTGCCATGTGCCGCTCGGGCCGGCCGGCAGGTTGCAGGCTGCAGGCGGCACGACGCCGGCGCGGCGAGCAGCGCGGATGGCCGGGGGCGCTGCAGAGCCGCCGCGGCCCGGCCGGTTCGGAGCCCGCTCGGTGAAGGGAGCGGCCGGTCCGGTGGGTGCTGCCCCGGGCGCAGAGCGTACCGCCGTCGAGCGGCGGCCGGAGCGGCTCGTCCAGGAATGGCACCGCTCCTCGAGAGGGCGCACAGCCGCCGCTCGTGGTCGATTGGCCGCCGCGCGGAGCGCCGCGCCCTCAGAGACGCCGAGATGAAGGGTTCGGCGAACTGATGTGTATCAGCGGCCAGATCAGCAGGAGGCGCTTCAGACAGTGCCTCAAGGTCTCGCTGAAATTCTCCGCCCTCTCGGCCGCACGCAATGATTGATGCTGCAGCATTCTGCATTCCTATGTTGAGTAGCTCAGGGCTGATCCGGCATGAGGCCTTTTTTATCTGGCGCTATGCATGTGTCTGCTACCCTCTACACTCCTACATGGTCTTCCGTCTGTGCAAACTGAAGTGTATCTGCGTTTCTAAAGTAATCACTGATCGGAAAGATAGGCACCACAGCTCAGGTGATGTGCGACAAATGAGCCTCGTGAGTCTGATGACAAATCACCCGCGTTTAAGTGCAGTCAGCCGAAAACGGTCTGACGGGGCCTGAGCGCATCCTGAGCGTCCGGAGCGTCCCGAGCGGGCCGTCAATCACCGTCGGTTTGTACGTCATCACCATCACGACTGCGGCTCCCCGGCGGGCGTCCAGAGTCAAATGATCCCACCACAGCGCGTAGCGGGCTCATGCGGCCGGGTCTCTGACCGCGCGAGAGAGCAAACGAGCCGGCGGTACTCAAATTCGGCGCAGCTCTCGGTAAGATTGAACTCATCAGCCAAAGGAGCTGCTGGTGACAAAGGGTATTTGCATTGTGTGCTACATTGCGGCGGAGTTTATGATACGCTCTTTTACGGGCAAGGTCTCTAGAATTTTTAGTGAACATAGTCGAGTTTCTTGTGGCCGTGCCTTCATTTGCAACAGCTTACCGCTATTTATGGCTACTCACCGTCTGGTTTCGAGATCTTGACCTGGAGGTTGTAGGGTCGTCCATAGACCACCTCCTTGGCGCGTCGGCCGCGGTCCATCAGTCGCAGGGTCACCAGCGACTTGTCACCCCTGCGGGAGAAGAGGGCGAGGGTCAGCCACGATCACCGGTCACTTGTCACCCTGCTGCAGGGGCAGCTACCGAGGGTCAGCTTCCGAGAAGGACACTTCCCAGGAGCCTTGGTACGTATAAGAGAAAGGATCATGTCAGTGTCACGACGAATTTATCACCGCTGCAGACAGAGAAAAGGTGGTACAAAGAAGACAGAGAGAGGTGGGATGTCAGCAACACCCGCGATTTATCACGCTACAAAAGAGTTACTGAGGTCAATGTCACGCAGTGCGACAACTCACTGTCCTGAGTGGACGTAAGAAGCCGGGTTAATGGCGCCTGCCGTCATGCCTCCAGATGTCTCCCTTCGCTGTCTGACAGGTGTTTGCCGCAATGCAGGGTTAGCACAGCTGGTCTCTGACATACCTACAGGTCACACGACCTCGGCCTGTCCTTGCTCTCGTCCGGCCTCAGTGGACAAACAGCGGAGCTCCGCCTTTGCTGAATACTAATTACGCCATACAGACGTAGCACGATTCTTAAGTCTTAACTAGCCTGACTTTTGTTGAAACATCATGACGAACATCAGATGTTACTAAGCAGGGCACTGCCTCCTTGTTTGCGATCCAAAGTGGCTCACATCATGGGCTCGGGCGGCGTATATGGACCCGCACGCCTTCTCTGCAGATCCGGCATCAGGCAGCCCACACGTGTGAGGCATGCACTGCTCAAGGACATGACTAAAGCGGCTTTCCTTTACCAGCGGAAGTCGGCTTCTTTGATCCGCAAGCAAAACATCCGATCGCCATGCACGTGCATCTGCCACGTCGGTTTAGCGTTCCGGCGTCTCCATAACCGCATATCAATTCGAACGATTTAAATGAATAGTAAACGAGAACAGTAGACACTTTTCGGTCATCAAAATTTCAATCCTCAGGGAATTTCCATTTAGAATGTAGAATAAATAAAGTAAAGGTGTCTCATCATAACCGTTGGTTCCCTTCTCGCCGTGAATTTTATTGCAGGAAAAATTAATTTGTATTACAATCTAAAAGCAGAAACTTTTTTTGGGCTGCTGACTTCTATATCTTGGGCGGAGACGCTGTGTTTTGAGCGGACAGGAGTGCCCTGAATGGGACGCTATGCTAATGAGGGCACTGTCTCCGTGCTAATGTAGGCGGTGTCACTGTGTTAATGTGGGCGGAGTCGCCGACACCGTGTCACAACTGGCATGGTGTCGTGTCGCGGGGCCGTCCGTCGGCGCGGTAACGGTGCCTCCTGACCGGTGTGCGCGCCGCCATTAGCCCGCTGACGGTTTCCACGACCGGCGTCCGACCCGCGGCCCATTACGGAAACCGCTGCCCGCCGCGCCAGCCGACATCGGCACCGGCCGGCCGACCCCGCGTCACCGCCGGCTCATCGCGGACTGACACCGGCACGGCGTCCTCTGTCAGCTCACTGGGGAGTGGGGATGCTGGCCGGGGGAGGGCGGCGGGATGAGCTCTGGAACTGTCCGGAGTAGTGGCTGCAAATGGTGAACATGGTTGAAAGGTTAAGTTGAGAACTATATAGGCCCTCTGGCAATCAGGTGATTTGTGCTCGTTCCATGTTGTCTAGCTCAAGATTTCAGACTGAGCTCCAAACACCATCATCCGTCCCAATTAGATCAAACAGAGAGCACCACTCTAGTTACCGTACCGCTTCCCGCGGAGTCTCCTGTGATCAGTCGTAGAGCTCCCTCGCCGCGGTTTGGCGAGTGGAAGTACATATAACGACTTCCTCAGTCACTGCTCTGACTGGTATAGGTATTGCTTAACGACAATTTGGACATGTCACCACCGCCAAGTCTTGTCGTCCGACAGGCGGCGAGACATGCAATCGCGGATATACCTACTGGTAATTTAGCAACAACTAACATTGCCGTGGATTTGACCAATCTCACGGCTGTGGGCAAAGTGGCGCAGCTCAAAGTGTAGGTAGATGTTAATTTTATGGGACGAGAAACGCGGATACGGGTATGCGTTGAGATTGGTAGTGCTCCCGTGGAGCTTTCATTAACATCATTATTCGTTAGTGGCTATAAAGTCGTTAACTGGCGCGGAAGAGGAATGTTTAGAGAGGGCTGCTCAGGTCTAATAGAGCCGAAGTTGGGCAGAGTGAACCAATCACTGCTCCGACCCGGCTCCAACAGAGTGGCGAGCGGCGCGCACTCGGGCCGCCCATCACCGGTAATGCGTATCATTAACCGGCCTGGATGGTTCCCTGGTGTTCACCAGGCCTGTCCATGGACCATAACACACCACTCTGAGGCGGGCGAGCGCAGCCGAAAACGGAACGAACGGCGGGAGGCTGCATTGTTGGTAGGAAGAAAACGCCGGGGGACTGCAATCAAGACGAGGAAGAAAGCACGTAGAGACTGGAGCGCAGCAGAGAGGATACCACCGGGTGGTGATTGATGATTCTCCGGCGGCGAGCAAAAACGACATACCACCGCTTATGGATATTGATTTCCAATAAGACTATGATTTCAGCCCGATGACAACTGATCCAGTGAGTATTCGATAGCAGAAATCATCGCTAAAATTCAATCAAGTGGCAATTTCTGTTTCAAGGCAGTTACGTACTAAAAAATAATAATAGTAGGGAGCTACAGAAGTATCAAGAAGATACAGTTAAGATCAAGCAATTCCCAGTAAGGATGAATATTGAATGACATCTGACACCTAAATTCTATAAAGCAAATACATTCATGCTTATAAAATGTAAAAATCCAAACCCCTATTGTAAAACTGTCTCACCTGGAGTTCTTGAAGCCCGGGTTGCCACATGTGATGACATACAGCTTGTCCTCTGCCACCTCCAGTTTCTTGTGAAACCGGACGGCAATGGGAATGGACCTATCGTCGGTCCTCTGCGGCAGACAAACACAACAGCGGCGTCAAATTGGACTCTGCGGCGCCAGATAACTGCTATCGCCACTCCTGTTTAGGTCTAATTACGAGTCCTGTCATCATCCCTCATGCTCTCATGTTCACTAATACATTTTTCCACCGAACGGAACGCCGCTCCTTGGAATGTGGCCTCCGGGAGACCTGCTCCGGAGCGCCATTAAACTCAGAAATTTAGGGTATCAATGCGGACCAATCAGTCTCTAAGCGAGTCTTTGTTTATGTGTAACTATCTGTTAAAATTCTGTCTAACAAAGACATTGTTCAGTAAGGAAAACATCCTTATTTCGTGGGCTTGTACTATTGTCTTCAATGAATGATAGCTACAAGAAAAATATATAAAATTCTCTAAGTCTCTAAAGACTCCCAACCGTATCTAAAAGAGCGGCTGGTTTCCGCTGGCACTCACGTTGTTGCCGCGCACTCCGCAGTAATCCTCGTCGCCCTCCCCGGCCAGGAGGTTCACGCGCATGCGCGTCTCGAGGCCGCCCTCTCCGAACTGGGTGCACGGGTCGGTGCGGATGTCCTTGCCGTGGATGACGCCGAAGAAGGGCTTCTGGGTGCGCACCAGGATGGTCATGGTGCTGGCGTCGCAGCTGGCCGTCACCTGCGGCTCGAAGTCCTGGGCGTCCAGCAGCTGGCTGGCACTCAGCTGGAGCAAAGAGAAGGGGAGGGTGAGACAGTGGCTAATGATGTGGCGCCGCTGCATCTGCAGTAAGAAACGAGATGAGAGTTTGATAATGCATCTTGATTTAGGCATGTGCATACTGCTTGTGAAAGAGCTTAAATATTCGCATAGGCATCTCACATGTTCACAGCATTCTCGAATAAATGGAAACCATTCTCGCGATCTATGCAGCCTTCTTTATCCGTGAACAAAGGCCCGGGTGAGTGAGTCCGGCTCTCCGCGAATGAATCAGCGCCACAATGTCGGAGATCTCACAGAGGGTTCTCTGACACACGGCAACCGTGGGCCCATACAGGTCATACAGCCCTCTGCAGGATACATCGGCCATGCGAGCCTGTAGATCTCAGACATGTCTCAGCAACAGTTCTTTGTTCGAGAGATGTGGAAATATGGTGTGATGCAATGCAGGCTTTTCCGCCGTCTTACGGAATAAGGCATAGGTATGTGTGCTGGCAAACAAGTCATACCTTCTCACTAGTAGTTGCTTTGATAGAATGCTACAAGCAGGGCTGCGGAGTCGGAGTCGGAGTCGGAGTCGGAGTCGGTCGGAGTCGACAGTTGTGACCGGAGTCGGAGTCGGAGTCGGAGTCGATTTTAGAAACCCGAGCCGGAGTCGGAGTCGGAGTCACCAAAAATCTGTCGACTCCGCAGCCCTGCTAGGTCTGCGGAGTCGGAGTCGGGAGTTGGAGTCGGTCGGAGTCGACAATTCTGCCCGGAGTCGGAGTCGGAGTCGGAGTTGGTTTTTGAAAGCCGGAGTCGGAGTCGGAGTCGGAGTCGCCGAAAATCCATCGACTCCGCAGCCCTGGCTACAAGTATAGTGTCCTAATGCATGATCCTGATACAACTGAGACAGAATAGCGCAAATAACGTTGCATTATGCGGTTATCGATCGACAGCAATCAGCAGCTTCTATGCCTGTCGCGATGTATTTAAAACCTGTGGATGAGCTCGTCGCCTACCCAGTCACCAACAGTAAATCATCCAGTGATTGTTTGGGATAGATAATCGAGTGTCCAGCTGAGTAGTTTCTCTTGTACAGAGCGACTTGATCGCAACACAGACGCACAGCACACGCATACGAAAATATCCTTTTTGTGATACCTGTAGGTGGATAACGCAGCGCGTTGAGTAAGACCCGATGATTGCTGATCTGATATGAATTCGAGTTTACTAATGATGCGAATTCGGTTTATTTAGTGCTCGTTTATCACCTCCACATTACACTAGTTTACATTGCTGATAGATCACCTCAATATACAGTGTCAGAGCCCAAAATACCGCGATACGCGAACCAAAACTTCGGACCATCTCAGCACATGACTGCTTAGCGCTTAAATTCTCCAGTCAGAATGTGTCCCTGCATAGCTAGAAACACTCAATTTAGGTCTCCTTTTCCGAGCCAACAGTGGAATATTACCCTCATCCCATTTAGGTGCACTGTGTGAACAACGACCATCGGTACAACGGGCTGTTGTTCTAAGGTTTACAAACCACCGTTTTCAGACCATGATCAAGTTTCTTTAGCTCCCCACGACGGACCCGTCCCAAATCTCGGACCAGAGCCATGGACCACGGTCCCGGGCCATAGACCACGGTCCTCTACCCGGTCTCGCCGGACCGGACAGACACCGGCTCCGTCCCCATTCCGCGCGGGACTGACGTTCCCGACCTCCGACTCGTTTGTTAACGACCACCGCCGTCTGTCGTCCGGAGTGTGTTGGATGCCGAGGCACAATGGCAGTCGCGGGGCGGGCTGTGAGGAGGCGGCTGCTGCGGGTATATATCACACACATCACCGGCCCCTGCCCAGATCAGAGCGATAACCGCCGCCGGGGAAATGGAGACGTCCGCCGATGAAGAGCTCACCAGAGGCAGATTGAGGGTTATGGCTGCTCTGGACGGGATTAGAGTCGATCGGAACGCCTAATTGGAAAGGGTGGTAGTAAATAAGGACCGGTACTTCGATGTAATCAAATGATTGTAAAGTTGACGTAGTTTTTGCTGATGAACTGAAAAAGTTAATTGCTCGTTCATGTGAGCCTTATGTCAATAATCCTGAGATACCGCCTTCTTCAGTATATTTTTTTTTCTGGGTGCTTTCGATGCATCATTGGCAAACACTACAGGCAGTTGTATTTTGACCGTGGCTGGCGTGATGAAACATCATTTTCCTTCATAGATCCAAACCAAGTCTGGATTCCTTCACAGACCCAAGGTCTCGGCTGGAGGCCAAGCCAAGACGGTGCGTGGTCTCTGAATATCATTGACCGGAGTCGGCAGCCGCTCCCCGGTGGATCTCCTCACAGCATTGACCGAGTTTTTTTCACGGCCGTCCCGAAAGTGCGGACGGAGCACATCTCAGCTACTCTGACCTCGGGAAACTAAGGCTCAATGGCTCTCCTGTGCACCAGTGACTCTGCTGTATTCGTGGCCGTCTCTGGCCATTGTCTGAGCCCACCTCACACACACCGACTGCGGCCGATGACGGCGGGTGATGTAAGGGGAGAGCGGCTCCTCTGCCGCTCCCCGCAGTGGTCCTCCATCAGTGCCCACCATCAGGGGATCTCCGCGGACCGGTGTGAGCAGGGGATCGCCAGTCACGGCGCCCTGGGGGTCGCGGCCCAGGTGCTAATCAGCCGACAGCCGACGCCATTAGGCTGACAAATGGCGGCGTCCGACACCGGTCCCGGCGGGACACCATCGCCGGCTGGCCGCCGACGGCCGACCCGCGCCACTTCCTGTCGGCTCGTCTGATTCCCCACCGTCGACTTTCCGCCCTCCTCCCACCCCTCCTGCGTGTCCTCCCTGCCCTCCCCTCCCCTCCCCTCCTCCTCGACAGGTGGCGACACGCGCTCCCGCTAACAAACAACCATCAAACTGTGAGAGCCGCCCTCACGCGACCGGCCCCGGCGCACTGCCACGATGGCAAGATAACGCGACCGGCACTCGGGCCGCCGTCTGATCACCGAGCGCTGTCCGATCGCGAGGGAGGGACTTTCAGTGTAATTAGCGATCGGGGCGAACCGGAATGTGTAGTCGTAAATCGGACGGCACCCTCTGCAGCGTCGCAGCTAAGCTGGTTTTCGATGAGGACCATCCGTGTTTTAATTTTGAGACTGGAGTGCTTCTAAAAAGGCGTATTGTCTTGACAAAAGCAGGCCCATTTCCGTGAATCAATGATGTCACAAGCTCGCTAAGAAATGATTACCTAATTAATTTATGGCGTCTAAAAGCTAAAATAACAGGCGTCTAAAATAATATGAATAAGAGCCAGCCATGCAGTGCGACGCATGATGATAACGTACTTCCTTCCTTTGGCACACATCCGTACTGCGTCTGTGGAATCAACTGCGCACATCCTGTTTTATAAGACAACACTGACGGAGTGAACCATCCATCGCACAGTTGGCAGAGTAAGTATTCTTGCTGTGTTCCACGCCCCAATACAGTGATGGATCTGTGCCCAAACAGCGTACCACGCATTGCAGCTTTGAGGAAAACAGTCTCAAGCGAACTGAAACGGACGGTGATGCATCAATTCGGTGGGACCGAGTTGAGCATACATCACAGAATTGTTTTCCAATCTCTCCCGTTATCTGTTTACCGTCCACTGCGGCCTTCCGCCAGTTTGCCAGCCCTCACCCACCGTCTTCTGCCATCTATTCTTGATCGTTATCTTGATCGTTCGTCGTCTTAGGTCGTCCATCCATTACAACTGCTTCTGTCCAATGTCGTTCGTCCGCCCATACCGTCGCGACTGTGTTCGCCCATCCTCAGTCGTGGTTCGCCAGTCGTCAGCTGGCGGTCGGTCACCATTCCGTGGCTGTTCTCCCGCGGGGTCGCGGGGTCGGCAGAGGTTCACCGCCACCACCGGAAGAGCCGCCGCGCCCGCGCCACTCTCAGGGAAGCAGCGGTACGGCCGCTGTAGGTGTCTGTGTCATGGTGCCGCCATAAGGGCCTGACAACGACCGGTAGCTGCTGCACGGAACTAGAGGTGAGTCGGGCGACATGTGGGCTCGCAATGCTGCAGCTCTGGTGGAAAGGTTTCGTGGACTCCGTTCGAAGCATCTACTTAAATATTCTGGTCAAGTATTGGAATCTGCGATGAAGATGCCTATTGCCTACTGCCCCACGACAGCCATGACCCGCTTGTGAGACGACGCTCACATCATCCGATCGGCATCCTCTTGCGACACTCTTTTCCCGTCTACTCTGAGGGACCAACACGCGGTGCTCCTCGGTTAGGTTCAGTGCTCCAGGCCCGTCCTCAGCAGCTGCGTCAGGGGCGGGGTCGACTCGGGCGCCCGCAGCGTGTGCCACCGCGCCGTTCGGCCGGGTCAGAGGCCGTGACGCGCTGCCGTGACGCGCCGCTCGTCCGTGACGCGTCACGCGGGCCGTGACGCACACAGTAGCCGCCAGGCGCCTCGGTCTGGCTTCCGGCCTGTCGCAGTAGTGGTGGAGTGGCTCCCAGCAGCCGTGAGGGGTCGCTGTGTGTCACAAAAGTATGTCCTCAGGTAGCACCAGTGACAGGTGCACACACGGATCTTTCCTATATCACCTTCTCTAGCGGTCCGTTTGCACAGACATCCGGCCCGCACTCCGCACCGACCCGGCGCCCGGGCGGCCGCTAGTGAAGAGCTCCAGAACGACGCCACGGTGACCGGGTCGGGTCACAGGTCACGGCCCGGCCCTATTTCCGTTACGGTGTGTGTGTGTGACCTGCCGGGGCGCGCCTCTGACCCAGTTCTCCAGTCGAACCGCAGGCCGCCGGACGCCGACAAAAACCCACAGTGGCGCAAACTGAGGCGACACCCTGGGAAAGGGCATATGAGTTGTTGGCTGCCTAAGGAACCTAGCGATCTAGAAGAGTCTGATAGAAATGCGTCGCCGGGGAGCTGGAAAATGAAATGGATGCGCCGAGCAGCTAGTCTCTGTGGATATATCCGCACTCATTATTCATTATATTGGCCTATAGTTAGCGCATGCTGCCACGAACGCCAGCTGAAGAGCCCGCTAAGGGGCGCGGTAATGGCGTTCGAGGCGACGAGTCATTACGCTAACGACGTAGGGAGCAGCATGCGGCCTTTTACGTTCGACCGGCCATTGAGTTCGCTGGACTCCCGACCGGCGAGCTATGAGTCGTGACGTCAGCACGGCTCCACAGGGCGCCATTGCTGGTCTCGGGTGCGTCACCGTTCGCAGAACAGGCCGGCCAACGAACCGTGACACGCGGCCGGCGCCACTCGACGAGTGTGGGGCGGCCGGCGCGTGCCACACCCGGGTGATCGGAGTGGGGAGGCCACTCGATTCTGCGGTCAACGCGAGCAGAGTTGCGCTGCCCGAGACGGCGGCTTTACCAAGGGACTCTGGAGAGTTGGGTGGCTTAGAACCGAGGTCAGGAACAGGAAATGGACCACCGACACGGCGCCGATCAGTGAAGGTCAGATCTGAACTGTTGCCGGGCCGTATCGGTCGGGCCAAGTCGGCAAATGAGCTCGATAATGACGGGAAGCCAGATGACAATGGTTTTCCGTTTCCGCCAATGGCCCTTTGAAATGCGCAGGTCCGTGACAAAATTGGCAGGCTGAGTTTAGCGACGATTGTATTGGCTGTGCGGCCTACTGTAAACGTTTGTATAAGCGTGTACTGCTGGAGTTTGCTGGAAAGACCTTTCGCCTTGCAAATTATATGGAAATTCGGAGAAACAATGCGATGCATGTGCATTTTCACTGGACAAAATGACCTCGTCAAACGAGGCTCATACCATTCTGGTGAACAATGGTCTCGGCACTCGGGCTCATATCAAAGTTCTGCTAATCGTCCGGTCGCTCACCATCTCCTGACCGCTGCACCCCTCCACTCTCCAGCGCCATGTGCTGGTGCGGTTCAGTCGTGAGCGGGTGTCGGCTTAGGCCGCAGCAGGACCGGCCGGCCGGGCGGGCAGCGCGACCGGGCCGGTCTGCATGTGGGCTGGCTCAAGGACGCCCGCCCGCCGCGGCCGGCCAGCTCGGCTGGCTCGGCCGCCTCCTCCTGCCATATACGGCGGCCGACACCGCAGCCGCGGCCGCCGGCACCCGCCACCGGGCACAACCGGATAAAGGGGTGCCTATATGAGCCCGCCAATGGCCGATTTGGTCGGGGAATGCGCGTAACTCCAAAATGGTATGCAGATTCGTTGCATAAATCCATATTGTTGCAGAACTATGATGGAACGTTATCACATCATTCACTTTCCTGGTTTATAACATGGCGGGCGGACACATGACCTGACATGCAAGAGGTACGCAGCTTGGCTGCATTTGTCAATGCATTGGTTCGTAGTCATCGGCGCAGTAGCTGGAGACTGGTATGACAAGCTCCATTTCGGGAACGAATCGTAACACGTTTCTGTGAACGACTACACGGCATTTCCTGTGCGTTTCCGATGATTCACTGACGGAATGTGGAATGATGAACTTACGCCAGAGTGCTGCCTGAGAAATACCTCCCCTGTTACGGATTCGACTATCCAATCTCTCGAGAAACGGCCGACAGTTGGCGATAATTACAAGCATCACAAGCCATAGCGGCTTGTTTAATTATCGTTCCCTCGGAGCCGACGCCAGACAGCCTCTCACGACCGGCGGTGGTAAATTATCTCGCTTCGTGATCGCCGGTGTCACGCAGTTGAGCGATGATTAATGTGTACCGTCGCGACCTTTTGCCTGCCTGACTCCGATACCTAATGGTGAACATTTTTACTACAAACGTCCCTGACCATCGGAGGAGAGCCGAATGGTCTGCGGGAGTCGGTAATTGAGGGATAATTCGATAATGACTGCGGAGATTGTGCTCGGCAGTGCCCACGGGCCGGGCCCGGTAGTATCTCTCCAGCATACCGATGAGTACGACTGATGTTCGGAGAGTAATTGAAATCGACGATCCCCTGAGCACGACTATCGCAGCTGCCACTTGTAATCAGCTATATATCCTGCAGCTCTATCACAATCCCAAACTGATAATTGACATAACGCCTCTGCATCGTGCACCAGCGCACACAACGGAAGTAAGCCCCCAGTCCGAATTCCCATTTGTCAGTTTGATTAGTATCTGGTGTAAGCCCACTTTTTGTGTGGTATACCGTCCACATTTAATTGCTTGAAATAATGACTGACTCACGCAGCAATTCGTCAGCAGTTCGGTGAATTTTTACGGTCGCCAACAGAGTCGAGGCGGACGGGTTTCTCGCAGTGTTATTTTCCTTGCCGGACCGTTACGTTGCAGTCTTTAGTTAGTGTACTGTGCCGCACTGCGGTCTCGAGTGTGTTGTTTTAGTATGCTGTGTCGCTCTGAAGTCTCCAAGCCTTTGTTAGTGTGTTGTGCCGCACTGTAGTCTCCGAGCATAGTGTGCTGTGCCACACTGCGGTCTCCAATCCTTTGGTTAATGTGCTGTGCCGCATTGGAGTCTCCACTCCTACGGGTAGTGTGCTGTGCCGCATTGGAGTCTGCGACTCTCCAGATAGTACATATGTGGGTAATGCCGCTCTCCTGTCTTGAGTTATTGTGCTGTGCCGCACTGCACTCTCCCAGTTTTCTGTTAGCGTGCTGTGCCGCACTGCAGTCTGCGAGTGTTGAGTTAGTGTCCTGTGCTGCACTGCGATCTCTAAGCGTTTAGTTATTGTGTTGTGTCACACTGCAGTCTCTGAGCATTCAGTTAGTGTTTTGTGCCGCACTGCAGTCTCCCAGTTTTCTGTTAGTGTGTTGTGCCGCACGGCAGTCACCGCTTGTTCATTCAGTGTTGTTGAAGACTTGGAGACTGCGGTGTCAAATTGTTCGGTTAGTGTGCTGTTCCGCGCTGCAGTCTCTGAGGCCGGCGGCAGGAGACGAACTACTGAGCGCCACCGCTTTTTGATCCGGCCCCGTCCGCCGTCCCACGTCACAAAAAGCGGCGGCCCACTGGGAGCAATGCCATCCAGTCACAGCGCGCCCCGTCTCTATAGAGAGACTCCTTCCGGGGGTCGATACACACAGGGTCAGGTCAGGTCACCTCCCTGTCCTGTACCCACCACTCTTCCCTCGCCAAAACCTGCCCGTCTCCCTAATGTACCCAAAATTGAGCACAGCTGGGGAGCAGGGGGCGCTCGGAGGTCACCCACCTGCTGGTCAAGGACGCACCTGCTCAGCGGCCAGAGGACAGTGGGCGGCTGAGGGACACCTGGGCCTGTGCAGTGTAACGAAATGTATAAACATCGTCTCAAACAAATGATCCATGTGATATTGTGAGCATAAGTGCAGGAGGTGCTTTTAAGGGTTACCAAAAGCGAGTCTTCACCGAAGAGCATAGCCGTCGCTAATGAGAAATCCTTATGTGAGCGTCCTTATGATTAATTTGCTAATAGGTACTGGTTGATATGCTAAAAAATGTGCTTTCAGTCTTATTCAGTGCAATGTGACAGAGTGCCCCTGTACGTTACGCCGGCGTCGTGAGCCGATCAGTTGCGCAACGACCTCGATGAAGAGCACGTCGTCACGGCCTATCGCACTGCACGGGATTACCCTAGTCACGGCGCTAATCGAAACAGCGTTCTCTACTTTTACTCGTGGGTAACTTTTAATGTGTTCCACAACAGATCTTCGCATGCATTGTCTTCGAAATAACTGACGGAAAAGGAACTGGTTTCGCACTCAAGACTGCTCTATAAAGATACGATTTTTGTGCCTCTCCGTGGCCGTATTAGGACCAGGTGTCCCACCATATTTATTCTTATTCCGTCTCTGACCTGACCCGACCTGCCTGATCTGACCCTACTCCGGGGTCGGTCACACCGCCTCGGTCCCCCTGTAGCCTCACCTGGAGTGTCAGCAGCACGGCGGCCAGCACGGCCATCCGTCCCCGTGCTGTGGTCATCCTTAGCCGCTCGGCGCCTCCCGCCAGCCCGCACCGTCCGTCAGCAGCTCACACGGTCCGCACCGAGCACTGCTGGCGCAGTCACCACCGTCACCGTCCGACCCACACCGAGCGCCCGCCGCCACTGCCGCCGCCGCGCCGCCACCGCCGACCGCTGACGTCATGACGCCGAGCGAGCGTGACGTCACCGGCACGGGGCGGGCCGGGGCGTCACGGCGCCCGCTTCCGGCGCACCTGCCGCGTCACGGGGCACGTGACGTGACGGGGGCGTCACTCGGAGGTCTGAGAGCAGTGGTGGCTGCGGGGACGAAACATGAAGACCAGGTGTCTCCGAAAGGCTGGAGGTTGTAGCGGCAGGTGCAAGGGTCGCTCGTGCAAGAGAGGGCGATGGTTCGGTCGTCAGCCGGCTGGCTGGACGGGTGAGTGGAGAGACCTGCCGGCTGCCCCCGGCCTCGGACGGAGCCGAGTCCCCCAAGGCTGCGTCATACCACCGAGTTAGTCGGGCGCCGCGCGTTCGACGAATCCCAGCCATCAGAGGAAGTCAGCCATGTCTGACTGGACGCTATGAATTATGCATTGGACCGGTTGGCCTCCCGATTAGACTGCAGTCTGGTCAGACACGAGTAGGCAATGTAGCCCCAAAGTTCTTTGTTTGTTTGTGGGGGGTTAGGGGCGCGCCGACTGCGAGGTCATTTGGCACCCATGGCCCCAAAGTTCACTGTAGCCCACTTAGGTAAGAACAGTCATGTGTCACCAATTTTCTTGGCAGCCACCAAACATGCAAACTGACATGAGTCACTATATTCTGCGTGATACAATACATTTATGTGCATATAAAAACATTCATAAGATGCCCAGGGGCGGGGACTCAGGTACAGCGGAAGGTCACAAAATACCATCGCTCGTTTCCCGCCTACTGCCACTCAGACACCAGTCACACCTCAATGTCCGAGGTCACTGCACATACCTCGGTCACAACGCGAAAAAGTTGTCGATCTTCATGACCTGACCGCCGTTTTTCAGTTTGACCTTGACCTTTTTCTGTCGCTGGGGGAAGGTGTCGGGTCGGGAGGAGCCGCCGAAGCCGTCCCAGCCGCAGTCAGCCGACGGCCGTTTGACGGCTGACGTGGAAGGACTGCCGGCGCGCGCGGCAAAGTCGGCGCGGTGAAGGTTCTGTGTCAGTAGGTTTTTGTTTTTGAGCCGACTGAAGTCGGTGGCGGCGCGGGCGGGCGCCGTGAACGGGTTCCTGCTCAGCTGAGAGCCCGAGAGGCGCGCGTGGCCGGCGGCCACCGAGGCCGACTTGACCCGCAGCAGAGGGGAGGGTCCGGCCGCGCCGGCCGCCGCCGGGTTCAGGGTGACCGTCTTCAGCGCCAGCCGGGGCGTCTCCTCGTCATCCGCGTCCTCGACTGCCCCGGAGCCCGTCGTCGAGCCCGACGGAGTCGAGTCGCCGTCCTGAGGGGGAAACATCGTCTCAGAGTGAGCAAAGGTACAAGGTAGAACGAACATAAACGTAGGTCTTACAACACAACAATGATCCCGAGTCCTGAGAAACGAGCAGAGACATGAGCTCCCACTGATATCTTTAGGCTCCAGGCATTTCATTATAGCCATAGACCTCTACATACCTAGGTATGTAGGTATAGAGGTACTACATACATCAAGGTATGTAGAGGTCTATGATTATAGCAAAAAAAAAAAAAAATCCGTTAAGCGTACAAGACAGACGAGAGGGAAGAGTTAGCTCAAACCTGGACATCAAACAATGAGCACATGGATTTCTTATTTATTTTAATTTAACCCTATTCCTGGCGGGGGGGGGGCCTCAGGAGCCCCCCCCCTGAGGTTTTTTGGTTATTTCTCCCAAACGCTTTGAGTTAGGAAGCTCAAATTTTCTGACTTTTCTCAAAAGGCTTTTACGCAACATTTCTAAAAATTTTGAGTTGATCTGACCTCAGGTCAGGTCACCAGAGGCGGTTTAGTGACCCTACCTCAGAAAAGTTTGCAATCACGCCAGAGCTAGAGTTTTTGACCGATCAATTTCTTCTCTTCAGGCTTTAGTAAGGGTACCAGTATGTGCAATTTGTATATCTCAGAATTTTCATATCTGTGACCTGAGGTCAGGCCAGACTCGTGACCTTTACATTGCAAGCCTATGGGAAAATATTGAAACACCTCCTGCTTCGTGTAAACGAGTCAAAACCACCCAATTCTTTCAGTATTATAGAAGATTATCTCATCGGTGATGATCCTGGTGCCGCTAATTGACAGGGGCACCGGCAAAGGTCATCTGAGGTCATGTGACGTCATAAATCGCTTTTCTGTCAATAAATCACGACATGATGGTGCTAAAGACTTGTAAGTGGTACCAAACTGCTCGCCTGGTCAAGGCGCGTCTTTTGGTATGCAGCATGACCATACCCCACAACCTCATTGATGAATGACCTGACCTTGACCTCAGGTCAAATTTCAAATTGACCTGTGAAGGTCATCACATACTTATTTCGTATCGCCTCGGCGAGAGCAACAAAAAATGTATTGGTTTTATGTCTCTATGTTTCTTAGTTTAAAAGTTATATAGGTAACTAATTCCAAAACATTTTATCGTTGATGACCTCTGGTGACCTCAATATTGACCTGACCTGAAAATGTTTTATGTAAAAGTTGTAGATCTTTAAACGACCTATCAAACGCCGTTCCCCGTTTGTCGCTGCGATGTGTAGTTTTTGAGATCTGAAGGGGGGGGGGGGCCGAATCGGCCCCCCCCGCCAGTTTCTTGTCCCGCCGGAGCCCGCCAGGAATAGGGTTAATCTATGAACAGGTATGGAAGGATCAAGCAAACTAGCGTTGAGCGCCACCTAGCGGCCATGTATGTAGATCGTAGTTCAAGCAAAATCCGCAAACTTAACGCATTGAGAGAACATGTTCGTCGTCAAAATGTTTGCGATGATCGTCAAGCAATCTGCTGTCGAAATCGGACATTGAGCTTCTTTAACTTTCCGATATAGCGTACAACATGAAGTACAACGCCACAAGCTAGGTGGAGAACTTGGCCACTCGTGGCACAAACACAGCACGATAAAACCCCAAAATGTTTCCTTACCGTCTGATCCTAGATTCCTTTACTACTCGTCTAATCCTCCTTTCCACTTAACGTTATGCCGACACCCACGATCTCACCTGTGAGGTGGCCACGTCCAGCCCGTCGGGACTGGTGAGCACGGGCCGCGACCTCAGGTCCGACGGTGTGCAGTTCTCCGAGAGCAGGCGGCTCAGAGCCGAGTTCTTAGGGTCGCCGCTAGGTGACACTACCGCCGCCTCCAGCGCCTTCACCTGGCGAGCAGGCGCCGACAAACGCCGTCAGAAAACGGATAACTGGGCTGGGCTACAACACTGCTCGAGACCATCATCAATGTTTTTATTCCATCAGCAAACCATCAGATTTTCTGGGAAAAGACGAATCTAACGGTACCCAATTTAAACTCCTAGATCAATCGCTGAACTTTCTGTCAGGCTAAACTAAAAATGTTGCTATTTGGGGCCAGCACTGGAACAGCACGTGCGCTGCCCGTCATTAGCTGGATATTCACACAACGATATCTTTGATCATCACCAGAAGTATCTAAAACAAAGTAGGTAAACCTTAAGATCCACGCCAGCAAAACAGTAACTGTCTATGAAGTTAGACTGTCTAGTGTCTACGAAGTTAGGCATTCAACGCAATTTCAGCTCATGCAGACCGTTACTCAGTGCAATACCGTTACATCGGGTGGCCATCGGCCCACGAAAGCCCCCTCTGCCTTTGTTCGCTAAATACGCCGCGTGTTCCTCAGCCCCTGCTGCCGCCCTGCTCACCTGTTTATGCAGTCGCGTATTCTCCTCCTCCAGGCTGGCGATCTCCGATTCTGCGGCGGCGCCGGCAGACTCCAGTTGCTCGAGCCGCCGCTGGAGGCGCTGCGCGTCGGCGCGCGACTCCTGCAGGGCGGTCTTCAGACGGTGGCGGTCGTCGCTGTGTCGCCGCTGCTCCTCGCGGCCACTGGTCAGTTCCCTGTGGGTGGGAGGAGGGACGGCACCGTCACACCGAGATAGTCGGTTACGTGAGGACGAACGAGATTAACACTGGCGTCCGTTACAGAGGGATGAAGGGCGGCGTTATCACGGGATTCACGACCAGCGTTAGTTACATACCGACAGCTTTATAAGCACGTCACCAGAATGAACTGAACATAAGAATGATATTGGAATACCTATCTAAGGTACCTCCTCTACAAGGTGAAAAGGCACTTTACACAAAGTATAGTTAAGCATATTGCACAACTATTCAAAGCAAGCACTGCTTTGACAATAACAAAACTGAGGAAAAATCATTCCATCTACCACCTCACATCCCTGCGCCTGCTCACAAGCCAGCAGCCCTCGCTGCCCAGCTCAACCCCAACTGACCTCTTGAGAACCAGGCAGTAGGTGGCCATGTCCTTGGCGGCCTGAGCGCTGTCGGTGGAGTAGGCCGACAGCATGTCCGAGACCTCGGCCGTGGACTGAGACACGACCGTCTCCACACTGCGGCGGCCGCACAGCCGGCGTCAGTCAGTGCCGAGGGGTGGAGACATGTGGCACACCGACAGTGCACACGGCTCTTGAACTACACACACACAACAAACACACACTAATCCTAGGGACAGTCGTACATGAATGAAGGCTTAATGCAGAACGGATTTAATCTAGCAGTTTTACTAGTTGTCAGTCAAAACGTGACAACGTTCTATATAAACTGTACTAAACAGGGAAATGCCTGCTTCCGAAATGTAGCTTTGTGTTGTCTCAAGTTTGCAACCAGTTTCGTTTGTCTTCAAAGCCTAGGGGAGAGCGGGGCCAGTTGAACCACTTTTTATATATTGACATGCACAGCGAGATCTAGTTGTCATATCAAAAAATGCACAATGCCATGAAAAAATATGCTCTTTTGGCTTTATTTTAAGATATGTAAAATTATGTTTCAAACATATTTTGCTGCCGAACGCATGCTTATAAAACAGCTCTACGCCCGTTTCAAATGACCCCGATGCGAGGGTCAATTGAACCAGCCCATGGGGTCAATTGCACCTATCCTTAACAATGGGATGTTTTCCTCTTTAAGGCCACTTTCTTAAGGAGATATTTTGTCCGGTTTACTTTTCCAAATGCTACATTCAATAGGTCGTTGGAAAGCTAAAAGTGCAAAGTTCCTCATAATAGGTGACATAAAGTACATAGACTATGGTAAAATGGGCGGATGAGGAAAATGAGAAATATCTCAGGCTATAGTGTGCTTTCAAGCAAAAGGCTGGAGAAAAAGGGGTAAAAAATTGAGTTCTATTAAACTACTATTTCAGTTTAAAAGCTCATTTCAAAGGTGGACTATTTCCTTTAATGTTTACAGTCCCTGAACAATAACCATTGCAAAGGTCACCGGGGTCCATTGAAACGGCCTGTGGCCCTGTTTCAACTGACCCTCAGAGAAGCGTTTCAATTGACCCCATCCGCTCCCGCCATCTCGCACGCGCCGTAAAGCACATGTCAAACGAGCTGGAGGGACGGCATCATGCTGAATGAAGGGCCAAATAAGGTGTTATTCCGGAGCCAGGAGTTCTTCTTTCAGCAAACAAAGGTATATGAGATATCACAAAATATTCATGAAAACGATTTCTCCCAAACGCCCCTCAAAAACACAAAAACAAGTGTCAAATCAAAATTACCGTCCGTTTGCCGCCCAAACGCCGTTGACAAATGAAGTGGTCGAGCGCGGATGCGCAGTGGTGTCGGCAACGCCATATGTTGCATACTGTTGAAAATAAAGCCATGTTTCATCTGACCCCGTGTTTCAACTGGCCCCGCTCTCCCCTACAACAGCCCACAGTTTCTACATACTTGGAGAGTAGTCGGAGTTTGGCGCGCAGCTTGTCACACTCGTCGCGCGCCTTCTGCTTTTCGCGCGCGATGTCGCCGAAGCACTGCAGCTGCATCTTCATGGCAGTGATGGTATCATCCTTGGAGCGACCGGCCTTCTCCAGCTTCTTTATCTCCGATCTGACGGTGGAGCAGAATAACCAGTGGGTCAAGGTGACAGAGAACAGACCACAGGTGATCAAAATAACAACAATAATTTGACGTGTCTGTGAGACAATTAATTAGAAAAAACCATTACAATGTACAGGGTGTCCCATAAGTTCGTTCTCACATTATGTTTGCATGTGAAACAGAGTACATTGCGTTTTGGTATATTTATGACCCCTCAATGTGCTCCCCATTTAATAGGCAAACACATGAATACATGCTGCGGCATGCCAACCGGCATGTTTGGCTGCATAGCAGGCTTAAAGTTAACCCAGACTGACTTGACATGCGCCGTGAGCTCCTCGAGGCTGGAACAGCGCTACGCTTCAACGAGCCTCAACTTCAGCATAACCAACAAACTTTTATGAAATTTTGATCCGATGAGGTGCCTGGCATGTGATCTTGCCACAAACGCCTGTCACAGTCTCCTTGCACCGCTTTTAAGCTTTGCTTGACCTGTGCACTGATGCACTGTCTTGCCTGAAGATGGGCCTACGACCTCCCGGATGCCATTTTCTCCTCTATAAATGTGTTCATACTCGCGGTTCGAGTTCAGCTTGAGGGCTGAAATTCCTCCTAGATGTTCTTGGAAAAGCATTCTGCTTCCTAAAACTGTGTCCGGGTTGCCACTTGTAACTTGATCAACTCCAGAACGCCTATAACCCCACAACACAGTGACCCTGGCCTTTTGCATAGGAACATAACGGGACGAAATGAAGGCCTCCTCCTTCGCCCTTATGGGGTTGTTTTCGGGTTTGGACGGGTGTTTCATCTCGAACGTGGACTAGTTAGTCCAGATGACCTGGTTGATGTCATCAGCCCTCTAGTTTTGTTTAGCCTCAGGCATAACGAAACTCATGTTTGGCCATTTTAAGACGTTTTTGACTGTTTTGAGCCCTCCGGTAAGCAAAGCTTAAGTCACCTTGAGTTATGTACCCCGAAAGAACACTCTTAGACAGCTGGTAATCCATCCTGAAAAGTCTGTTTACCAACTTTCTAACCCTTTGACCTTTTTGATGGCCACTTTGGCGCCACACAGTTTTGGCCACTTGGCTCATTCCTGAGGGCTGGCTAGAAAGAGGATAAACTTGCAGTTATTGACTCCCAACAAATCATCGGCGTCACTTGCTGACTGTGCGTCCAGTTAGCGATGGATATTGGCTACAGACTGGTAGGCCTCAATCACCCTCAATCGTCGCGAATGGTCACGTGCTGACTAAATACTGAGACGTACCCGTATCGGAGACCTCTATGTTGCGGCGTTAGCCGTCTCTGTAGGAAGCGGGCTCTCTAGCAAAAACTATTTTGTCTACAGAAATTAGCTACTGTGGAGCATATTTCTACCAGCCATGGCAACCATGTAAGCTCAGTTACGAACCAATTTCAGCGTGCCTTTAAGCAAGAAAGCCTAAAAACGTAAAATTTAGGTGAGAACGAACTTATGGGACACCCTGTACTATCCTGCAAATTATGTATTTTCAGCACCATGCTCAGGTGGTATGTAAGTCCTTATCAGATATAGGTTGCTGAAGAAAACCCTTAAATTTTTGCATGTTTTACTATCATGCAATAAGCACTTATAAGTGCTCTACTCACTTTAAATGCTGAAATGATACACTGGTGAGTACCAACTTAACATACCTCAGCCCAGCATGCTGTTCCTTGAGAAGCTGTCTCTCTTCTTCGGCCTTGTTGTACTCTGTAGTCTTAAGGGACAGCCGGAAACGTAAGCTGTCCAGCTGTGAAACAAACAAGTACAGTTCTAATGATGACAATAATGCATAGGTATTTAACACTTACTGTTAACGCCAGACCCCTTGAGACCCTAATTTTTCGCGATTACTTTTAAATGCGTGAAGGAATTTCAACCAAGCTCAGGACATGGCCGTTTCAAGACAGGCCGAAACTTTTACAATTTAGATATTTTATCGCCATTTCAATATTTCAGGCACTTGTCATTGACTCGTAATGTTAAATTTCGAGCAAGATTTTCATCCGGTGTGTAGAGGCTATCACCAGTCAGTCTGTGATACGTTATGACGTCACAGCTAAGCCCCGCCTCTGTGGTCTTGGCCTGCGGCGGTTTCGGGCCGGCGCGCGGTCACTCTCGCTGTGGCGGGGAGCGGGGACGGGCGACGGGCGAGCGGTGCCGAAAGCCGGCGGAGTTGTGCGTAGCGTCTTGGCTGACAGTGCCCAGAGAGCGACATGATGACTAAGGAGTCATAAATGCTCATTGCGCATTGCTTCTACAATGCGCATTGAGCATCCACCACTCAATGCGCATCCACCACTCATGTTCGCTGATATATATATATATTTTTTATAAGCTGCAAATGACGGGCAGATGGCATATAACTGACATAAGGTTAGGAAATATTCACCTGTATTTAAAGCCTATGGCGTTGCAGATAACGTGATAATGGGATGTCGGATGTCACCAAGTAGCTGCCGATTTGTACATCCCTATGCAACCATCGAACAACGCAATAATAAGTTAATTGCCTGAGCTTCACATCATACGGCTCGCTCGTATTTCAAACAGATACTGTAGCGGGGTTTCGCCGTTGCGGGGCTAACCGGGCAGTGTCTTCTGGTAGGTGGGCTGGCTCGAGTGTGGGTGTTAAAATCGGCCTAGTCGGTGCGCTTCTACTCGTAAAAGCCCTTCTCGGTTCAGCCCCTCGCGAACTCGTCCCGACTCTGTCTTTACATTCTCCGGGGCGATCAACCATCGGAAACACATAGGCCAGGGTTAGGGAGTAGGAGATAATGATAAATGATAATCAATTACCCTCGATCATATTGGTATAGAAAATCAACTCTATTTAACAAAAAGTCCCACTCTCAAACAACAGCGCCCTTCCTAGCTGAGGGCTATCTCCCACCGGATATACACAACAATCATACTTCCACTCGTGCATCCCTTCTCACTTCTGTCATACGTCCAGTTATACCTCATAATTATCAGAGTTAGCCGTCTCCGATCCCTCCCTCTTTGCCTAACTTCCCCCGGTGGTGCTAAGGCGTGCGCAAGTCATTATTGAGTCATTGGCCTTAAATTTCATTAACCGTTATCCCTTCATAACCACAATGCTCCGTACATCAGACAAACGCTTCATAATGCTCACGCTACACGAATAGAATATACGAACCACCACAGATTTCGGCACTCCGCCCTTGAATTACGCGACTTATAGCGGGTCCAAGACCATGCCGAACTACCTACACACAAATAATAAACACACACGCACGCAGGTTGTTGAGCGAACAATGGACTTACAGCATGGGCCGGTAAACCTTTGCAACAACGTACGCAGCCCTTGTCTTACTGCCACTCACGCGTGGACCTACCTTCTGCTGCCAGTGGTCAGTCAGCATCTCTAACACACTCCAGCCCACGGTTCCGGAGCTAGAGCTCGCAGGGCACTCAGTAGCCCGGGCTTTCCGCGGCGGACGTATCTAAAATTTGAAAGCCGGGTTGGGTAACTAAAGTCCGTCCGTGATACTAATGACCGCATCTCGCACCAGCCATAGTTCAGGGTTTCCGGGCCAACCCGGCGACCTAAAAAAAGGTTAGCTCTCGTCGGCTAACTACAAAGACGACACGCGTCTTCCACGCACGCAGGTCCACTCGGGGATATCCTGCACTCAACACACATCGTCGACTACCAGCACATAGGCGTCCAAAGCCCTATCTATCCGTGGCTGGTAGTTAAGCTGTCGTCACAGACCTATTCGAAAGGACCAGAGCATGGCCGGAGCTACTCGACTGACTGCGGGTGGCCAGCACCGTCTGACTGCGATCACCCGACTCGAATGCTCGGTATCTAATGTTCACCCCCGTCTTGCGGCATTATACGTTCCTTCGCGGGGCATTACTCTTCCGGCGGCATACGATTCCCTCGCTAAGACGCCCGGGGTCCTAACCACCTCCGAAACTATCTATGTCGCTCTTCAAATGACGTCCCGCGCCGACCACTTGAGGGACCGATAGCGGGCCTACATATCTTTTTGAAACCGGGCTGGGTAACTAAGGTCCATCCGTGATACTGATGACCGCATCTCGCTCCAGTCATAGTTCAGGGCTTCCGGGCCAGCCCGGCAGCCTAAAATCTGCCCAGCCTCCGAGGCTGTTAATCCGAGACGGAACACCGTCATCTCGCGGCGGCCCACCCGCCGATACACATCCCAGGCGACGGCCCACGTGACCTTAATTATCACCCAGGCCTACCCTGGGCCGGAACAATCGGGCCACTGGTCCCGTGTCCCGCTAGCCAGAGGTTAGACAGACTACAGCCCGTCGTCCCCTCCGAGCCAGGACACGAGGCTGACCGGGTAACATTTCTTGAAACCCTCCTCGGCGGTCTGTGCCCGACTCGCCTTCATCCTCACGTTTAATTTCGCGACTTATTGCACGCATCCAGGGCTTACTCAATCGAGGCCTTATATCTAGTGGGGTCTGTCCGAGTTCAGCGCCATTCGGGAAACCCGATTTTTCTATTTGTACAGTCCGCGTCTCTACTCGCGTCTCATCTCCCTCCTAACCCATGGCCGCGTCGGTGGATTCTCCACGCACAGGGGCGTGACGTGCATCATCTATCTCCCCGGTTCCATCCCTTGCAGTGTCCATGTAGAATAAAATTACATATATTTCGTGTGCAACAAGGTCTAGTGTGTTGCTTGTGTGCGGACCGTTGGTAAATTGATTAGTGGAGTGCCAGGAAATCCGCTGGCGAGGGCATTTGGGAGTCAACCGGAGGAGCTCCAGTATCGGTTGGGCTAGGGAGGTCCTGTATGTGTTGTGTATAATCGCTATCGTTTGGACCGTGGGATAATTCGGGGAGGATGGAGTGCCAGGAAATCCACTGGCAAGGGCACTTAGGAGTCAACCGGAGAAGCTCCAGTATCGGTTAGGTCAGGGAGGTCCTGTGTGTATTGTGTGTAATCGCTATTATTTGGACCGTGGGATAATTTGGGGAGGATGGAGTGCCAGGAAATCCACTGGCAAGGGCACTTAGGAGTCAACCGGAGAAGCTCCAGTATCGGCTAGGCTAGGGAGGTCCGGTGTGTGTTGTGTGTAATCGCTATTGTTGGACCGTGGGATAATTTGGGGAGGATGGAGTGCCAGGAAATCCACTGGCAAGGGCACTTAGGAGTCAACCGGAGAAGCTCCAGTATCGGTTAGGCTAGGGAGGTCGTGTGTGTGTTGTGTGTAATCGCTATTGTTTGGACCGTGGGATAATTTGGGGAGGATGGAGTGCCAGGAAATCCACTGGCAAGGGCACTTAGGAGTCAACCGGAGAAGCTCCAGTATCGGTTAGGTCAGGGAGGTCCTGTGTGTATTGTGTGTAATCGCTATTGTTTGGACCGTGGGATAATTTGGGGAGGATGGAGTGCCAGGAAATCCACTGGCAAGGGCACTTAGGAGTCAACCGGAGAAGCTCCAGTATCGGTTAGGCTAGGGAGGTCCTGTGTATGTTGTGTGTAATCGCTATTGTTTGGACCGTGGGATAATTTGGGGAGGATGGAGTGCCAGGAAATCCACTGGCAAGGGCACTTAGGAGTCAACCGGAGAAGCTCCAGTATCGGCTAGGCTAGGGAGGTCCTGTGTGTGTTCTGTGCTCCCCGTATAATCCCTGTGTGCACTGTGTAAAATCAAACAGATAAAGAAAACTGATCGTTGTAAATTGCTCTGGCCAGACACCTTGGAAATGACCTCTTTCCCGACTGTGGGTTGGCATATGGCCTTTTATGCTCCATCCTCCGATCCCTGCCCTTCAGCACTATACTCACACTCGTATTTCAATATTTACAAGTCCCATTTATTTACATACTCCGACGCAACACCTTAAATTCCCTTACACGTCAAATTTAAAGAAAACATTCTGGGCCCAGGCCGCCCATCAACTGAGCCCCACAAGCCGCGCGGTGCGGTACACAGTCGCCCGTCCCTTTCCAGACTCCCCACGGTGTATAATCCCCTCCGTCCGCCTTAATCACCACGGGGCGCCGGACGAGGGTCCACGTCGGCACGCGTCTCGCGCCACGCGCACAGTTACATAGTTTACCGAAATCGAATTGTGAACTTAAGCTACCTAGACTGAAAGTCCCAAGAATAAATTTAACTACCTAAACTGAATGGCCTAAAACATTGCAGACGACACCTAAAAAGGGGAAATATAATGTGGCTCACATAGCAGTAACGAGGGGGGGGGTTACTTGAAGGATTTTAGGGACTAGGTGCGCACCCGTGTTCACCGCGTGACCTTACTTGAGATGGAGTCGCTGACATGATGGCCGTGTCCGTCCAGCGCCCGGCCAGGCGGCCGGAGCCGCCGCCGGCGCCGTGATGCCAGCCGCTGGTCTCTCGTGGGCTGTCCACGGTGTCAGATGTGAGCCGAGAGCGAAGAGCGGCGTGGGATCCGTCGTCCGAGAGAGAGCCAGGACCAGAGAGAGCGTTCCAGTTCCGTTTCATCAACTTATACTTTTGATGACGTCATACTTCAGAGGGCCGGGCAGCATCTCCTTGTCCAATCTTCGTCCTCCATTCTCAGAAAGTGCGTTTGGCTCCGCCTTCAAACGTTCGTGATTTGCTGAAGTTCGGCACCCCCGGCCATGGCAGTCGCACCCCTTCACGCTGCGATCGGACGGAACTCGCCGCCGGCGATTTGCGCCGCCTGAGGCGCCAGGTGGCGGCCGGCTCTGCGCCCTCCTTTCTTGTTTTTAGTCCTGCGCTCCCCCT